TGTGTAAAAGCGTCTGTGTGTAAAAGCCTCTGTGTGTGAAAGTGTCTGTGTGTAAAAGCGTCTGTGAGTGAAAGCGTCTGTGTGTAAAAGCGTCTGTGTGTAAAAGCGTCTGTGTGTAAAGGAGTCTGTGTGTAAAAGCTTCTGTGTGTAAAAGCCTCTGTGGGTGAAAGCGTTTGTGTGTAAAAGTGTCTGTGTGTAAAAGCGTCTGTGTGTAAAAGCGTCTGTGTGTAAAAGCGTCTGTGTGTAAAAGCGTCTGTGTGTAAAAGCGTCTGTGTGAAAGCGTCTGTGTAAAAGTGTGTGTGTAAAAGTGTTTGTGTGTAAAAGTCTGTGTGTAAAAGCTCTGTGTGTAAAAGCGTCTGTGTGTAAAAGCGTCTGTGTGTAAAAGCGTCTGTGTGTGAAAGTGTTGTGTGTAAAAAGTCTGTGTGTAAAAGCTTCTGTGTGTCTGTGTGTAAAAGCGTCTGTGTGTAAAAGTCAAAGCGTCTGTGTGTAAAAGCGTCTGTGTGTAAAAGCGTCTGTGTGTAAAAGCGTCTGTGTGTAAAAGCGTCGTCTGTGTGTAAAAGTCTGTGTGTCTGTGTGTAAAAGCGTCTGTGTGTAAAAGCGTCTGTGTGTAAAAGCTCTGTGTGTAAAAGCGTCCGTGTGTAAAAGCCTCTGTGTGTATAATAAAAGCGTCTGTCTGTAAACAGTTCTGTGTGTAAAAGCGTCTGTCTGCAACTTTACGAAAGATACGATGCAAACTATTGTCTTGTACTTGTAATATATTGTTTTGAAACTACTCTTCTCGTCTGCCTATAATACATCTTCAATATATTGTCTTGTAATTTAGTGTCTCCATACTAGCAACAGAAGACTTTGCTCGTCTACGCTCTCGGGCCATCCGTCGTCTAGTTTTGTCGTTAAAGCTTCCATGGCTTGTTCTGAACGGGCCCCTAGGGTAAACATGAAAGAAAAGATGTGTAACACCAATGGTTTCTCCTAGGAAAGTAATCAGCAAACAGTGTCCACAGCTATGTGCCCAATATGGGTATGGGTCAAAACAGAAAGCAATCTGACGTTACGGACTATTGTGGCAAAATTTTTAGGATGTGAACTGCAGCTAAACAAGTTTTAAACCACAACCATAAGGAAGCTCAACCCCCAAGCTTTCTATTCAGTTTCCCCATAGATCCCATAGAAATGGCTAATATCTTGGGTATCCTCCCATTTTTGGACAGACCCGCGCCTCACAGTGCGTGGTTCAAGACTTTCGAAGTCGAAGGCCATGGCCGCCATGGCAATGCGGATCCAGGTGGAATTGCTGAGTGGCGAAGGTGGCAGTCTGGAAGTGCCACCAGACATGACGATCGGACAGTTGAAGGAGGAAGTGAAGGTGAGCAATGTTCAAAAGCTCGGTTGAGAATGAAGTAGGGCCCAAGTTTTTACATTTTTTTCATCTTGTTGTGTATTGGTAAAAGTTCTGGATCCATGGAAATGGGACACATGTGAGAAATCTTTGGGACATAGTGTGACAATCTGTGACCTTGAATGATAGGAACACTGATACCGGGTTCCAGGTAGCCAAAGTGATCTTTTCATCCAATCGCTTTGGGGTATGTTTGGTCCAAGGGTTGGGGTCCAAAGGGACCTTCCCCAGGCGTTCCATCCATCGAGTGACGAGATCATCCGGAGACTCAGCAGCGTGGAGATTGTCCTGGATGGAGCACAGCTGAATGATGAGTCGATGAGCGTCGCGGAGTCGATGCCTGACCATGCCAAAGTGCAGGCATTGATGTTGATTCCACAGGGTGTTGAGTCAAAGAATTACTTGTAATGCTTGGGTTTCACTAGTCAAAGAATGACTTGTGACTTGGATATAATGTGATACAATGATGATATAATGGATTATGGGTTTGAACGAGGGGTGAGCCCCGATTCCGTAGGTTCCAGCATGTTCCAGCATGTTCCAGCATGTTCCAGCATGTTCCAGCATGTTCCAGCATGTTCCAGCATGTTCCAGCATGTTCCAGCATGTTCCAGCTATCTGCCGATGATTCATTCATGGCTAACAGCTTGTACATGTTCTTTTTGCTTCTAGGGTCCAGGGGTCAGAAATCAATATGCCATTGCGTTCTTGAATGTTTTGCGCCTGAGCGGAGGTCTTATTCCACGTCAAGCCGGCAATTGAGTGTGTTAGCAAAGAGGCATCTGGCTGCAGGGTGGACAAGTTGCTTGACGTATGCATCCCTGACACTATAACAAGCATCCAGCCCGAGGCCTTTTCTTCATGTCGTTGCCTGGTGCGAGTTGTCATCCCGGAGTCCGTGATTGCAATCGGAGCTTCAGCCTTTGAATGCTGCAGCTCGTTGAGGAGTTTGACCATCCCGGAGTCTATGACTAGAATTGCGCTGCATGCCTTCCGCAACTGCAGCTCTTTGACGAATTTGACCATTCCCCACACAGTGAAGAAAATTGGGCAGGGTGCTTTCGAGGGTTGCGACGCTTTGGCAGACTTGATCCTGGAGTCTGTAACTGAACTTGAGACGGGTGCATTTTCTGGTTGCAGCGCTTTGACGAGCGTGACAATCCGACATTCTTTGACCGAAATTAGGCCCTATACCTTTGAAGACTGCCACTCTCTGATGAGTTGTACCATTCCAGGGTCAGTCATGAAAATAGGAGAGGAGGCATTTGCGCGCTGCACATCTTTGAATTGCTTGATCATCCCTGGCTCTGTGAAGGAAATCGGGGACGGAGCATTTTCTCACTGCAGCTCTTTGACGGATTTGACCATCCCGGAATCTGTAACTGAACTTGGGAAGGGCGCTTTTGAGGGTTGCAGCGCTGTGACAAGCGTGACAATTCCACATTCTTTGGCCGAGATTAAACCCGATACATTTAGTGACTGCCGTTCTCTTCCGAGTTTGAGCATTCCAGAGCCCATCGTGAAAATAGGAGAGAAGGCATTTGCGCGCTGCGCATCTTTGACTTGCTTGAACATCCCCAGCGCTGTGACGGATATCGGGAAAAGAGCCTTTTCTCATTGCAGCGTTTTGAGAACTATAACCATTCCACACACGTTGAAAAAAATCGGACCCTGCGCTTTTGTTGATTGCAGCGCTTTGACGGATTTGACCATCCCGGAATCTGTAACTGAACTTGGGCACGGCGCGTGTTGTGGTTGCAGCGCTTTGTCGAGCGTGACAATCCCACATTCTTTGACCGAAATTAGGCCCTATACCTTTGAAGACTGCCACTCTCTGATGAGTTGTACCATTCCAGGGTCAGTCATGAAAATAGGAGAGGAGGCATTTGCGCGCTGCACATCTTTGAATTGCTTGACCATCCCCAGCTCTGTGACAGAAATCGGGAAAAGAGCCTTTTCTCACTGCAGCTCTTTGACAAATTTGGCTGTTCCCCACACAGTGAAGAAAATTGGGCAGGGTGCTTTCGAGGGTTGCGACGCTTTGGCAGACTTGATCCTGGAGTCTGTAACTGAACTTGAGACGGGTGCATTTTCTGGTTGCAGCGCTTTGACGAGCGTAACAATCCGACATTCTTTGACCGAAATTAGGCCCTATACCTTTAAAGACTGCCCCTCTCTGCTGAGTTGTACCATTCCAGGGTCAGTCATGAAAATAGGAGATGAGGCATTTGCGCGCTGCACATCTTTGAATTGCTTGACCATCCCTGGCTCTGTGAAGGAAATCGGGGACGGAGCATTTTCTCACTGCAGCTCTTTGACGGATTTGACCATCCCGGAATCTGTAACTGAACTTGGGAAGGGCGCTTTTGAGGGTTGCAGCGCTTTGACAAGCGTGACAATTCCACATTCTTTGGCCGAGATTAAACCCGATACATTTAGTGACTGCCGTTCTCTTCCGAGTTTGAGCATTCCAGAGCCCATCGTGAAAATAGGAGAGAAGGCATTTGCGCGCTGCGCATCTTTGACTTGCTTGAACATCCCCAGCGCTGTGACGGATATCGGGAAAAGAGCCTTTTCTCATTGCAGCTCTTTGACAAATTTGACCGTTCCCCACACAGTGAAGAAAATTGGGCAGGGCGCTTTCGAGGGTTGCGACGCTTTGGCAAACTCGTCGCTTCCAACGTCTCATCAGGGTGCGACGGCATTCCGAAAAGGTCGCAGACGAGTTCGACAATGAGTGAAAATGCCATGGGAATGGATGGGCACGAGGTCTTGTAATGGTTGGAATCCCACCCAGTTATGACAAATTGGAGTTCATTACTATGAATAACTATCTATCAATGCAGCCAATAAATCAAACATATATAAACAGCTTTTAACACTATATGTATGTGACATTCTGTGACCGGCACGCTGGTGTTCCAGCCGAAAAATAACATTGAACTTGGCCGATTTTGAAGGGAATGAAGGATGCCCCAGTTTTTTGTCCTGAAAAATATCTCCTCACCAGTCGTATTTCCGGCAAAGCCTTGATTTTCAGATGACGCTCGGCCGACCTCCCTGTGTCCCCGTGAATATCGAACGTGTTTCACATGGAAAACCGCAGGTCGTTCAACATGTTCCAGTTGAATATCGACTGATCCGATCTGAACTGATTTTTCTTCCGTGTTCTTCATTTTTGATGGAAGCAGCCGGCGGTTCCACGGTTCCGCTTTTCGAGGACAAATTTGCATTGCGAACAGCGCTGCGGATGATCTTTTCGCAGGAGGAAATTGAGAAGGCTGGTCTTTGTACAACACGGAGCTCAGATCAACTGAGATGAAGTGATATGAATTGGAGCCTATTGTGATGAAGCAGGATGAAGGCTTGCCATCTTACTTCCCACATCCTATCTGCATCCGGAATAAAGACAGTTTCTTTAGCGTTTCTTCATTTTGGAGATCAGAAGTGGCTGGAGATTCTGAATGTCTTTGATTTTTCTTTGATTTTGCATCCCAACCTGACTAGATGACTAGATTCCATTCGATCCCCAACTTTTAGCCCGTACCATGAACTAGTGCACGACCAAGTTATGCTAATTGCATCTAATTGCTCCAACAAAAATGTCTTCCAGAAGTTGGATGAGTAAAACCTTTGACATCGCCACAGCTGCCGACATCATTCCCGTCCCTTCCCAGGCGTTGCCAGCGATGCTGAGAGCATGTCGGGAAGAAGGATTGACGCTTCGCTGGTGAAAAGGGTGAAAGTTACTGGAGATTTCGATATCCGAGTGGAGGCCTCAATTACCAGCACATCAAGCACCAAAGGGTGACAATATGAAGCGATATGAAGCAGAAGGGTGCGTTGTTTTTTTTTGTGGACCATTGTAGACCACCTGATTTGTGTTGTGGATGCCTATGATTCCATCACATCTTGTTTCTTTCGCAAGGTAAATCGTGCGGACATTCTTGTACCATGTTGGCAGCATGATTTTGCCAGAACCGCCATCTGGGGGAAAAAGTGTGCCGAATCATGTAGCCAACAAACATCAGCAACCATTTCTTCAAGTTCTTTAGATTAATCGATTACAGGCCAAACTGGGCAGCTGTTTCACAAGTTTCCTTGCTAAAACAGATGTTGGTGCATTGTTGGGGTACTAAGTTTGGTGTTTTCTTGGGGACATAGAGTCAAAGCATGTTTTGTCCCTTTTGTGTTTGAATCATTTTGTTCCCTCTTCTTGGTTTATATCCCCAGCACCCAAGGACTCTGGAGCTGGCGAAGCGCAATCGACGGGTGCGCAGTGCAGCAACTTCGCGCATCTTGACAGCCCTGTCTCCCGGTCTGCCAGGGTACTCTGGACCAAAAACCACCTATTCAACACTATTGTCATTTTAAACAATTTCAATTTTCAATATACTTCAATGTATATGATTGTATATGGATGTATAATATATATATATATATTACATATATGGTATTTTCAGAAGTTTTATCGTACTCCAGATCTCCAAAAGGTGAACCGGACATGTTTTGAGGCCCTTCAGGAACAGGCTGTGATGGTTTGCAAGCGTAGCATAGCAGCCACAGCAGCCATAGCATACCTTGGCCATCCTCCGTGGCCATGGACTTTTGCTGCGTTTTCTCGGCGTTTGGGGCCGAATTCACGGCCCTTCCGGTTGAGTTTCCGGCATTTGTTCTGGTACGCTGCTCTCGGATGGGGTCAGTCACAAAAGTTGACACAAAACTGTTTGCTCTTGACTGGAAACTGAATCCAAAAGCTTCAGATGTGGAAAGTTGAAGGTTGGGTTGAGAAAAGGCTGTCCACAGCAAATCTCAGGTTTATTGAGATTCGCAACACCAATGCTGCAGCAAAAGTTGGCGTACTGGAGCTGGTTGCCGCCACAAAGCCAGACATTGTGCTTACCATGGAGGTAGAACAGCCGGGATTGCTGTAGTTTGTGTCGGTTTCCCTTTTCGACAACATGTTCCAGACACTCTTGAGCCATTACCTGGCAAAGCAAGCTTCCTGCCACAATGTCAGGGAGAGGGGCGGGTAGAATAGGCACCCGGACAATTGGATGGCACTGAAAAACACCAAGCGATTAAATCTAAAAAATGTACTCCAGACTCCAGACCTCAATTTCAATCAATGACGTTTATAACATTATCTATAACCCTTTGTGCTGGTTGCAAAACGACCGGTTAGCTCCAACTCTGTAGGTGTTGTTTGCACGGGGCGCATGCTTGGAAACCCAACAGCAATTCCTCCAATGCTGGGAGCAAGCTACGATTTTGGCTGGCCAAAACAAATACTTTGGAGAATTGGCGTGGACCATTGTGGGGAACCAACAGAACCAAGGCATCTCGGCTGAACTAGGCCGAGCATGTGCAGCTGCACCTTAGTTTTCCCTTCAGACACTGCGGTCAATCATAGTTGATCTAGGTTGTCGTATCATGCCAAAAAGAGTCTAGGGTGTACATGTGCAGGTGTTGTAAAGGTTGTATGCGGTACCTCCCGGATTCATCACTGTGTTAGCCAAAGCTCATTGCTTCTCCATGTTTTTTTCGCCATTGGTTCTCCAGTGTCTTCATACTGTCAAGACTTGGTCTCTATGCAAGGCACCTCTGGCACCTCAACAGTTCAACACGTTGTACCCAAATAAATGACGTGTGTCTACTTGTGTCGAAATATGTTTTCTGGTATCATATGTCTTACATGCTTATACCATATTCTACCCCTTGAAGTTGAAAGCAGCCAGATTGGACACCAGAGCAGGTCGACAACGACAATTTGCACTTTGCAGGGATTGGGTGCTGCTGCTGCGTTGGGCGGCTGGTCTTGGTGCGAGAAAACATCTGGAGACGGTTGTAGAGATGGCGGTGCGTTGGCTGCAAAGCGGCAGGGTCCCACATGGCTTGAAGGTACTAAAATGCCAGGTGCTAGTACCCCAGGTTTCCCAGTCTTCTAACATCTTCTAACCATCCAATGGTGGATTTGGGTGTTTTCACTTTTCGGCCCATCTGGTTGCATCTACTGCATCTACGTCTCCAAATTCCGGGTTGGTACAACAACGCGACCAACAGTCATGGGCCATGGGTCTGGTATAATCTGGTATATATGGTTTCCCCTTGTTTCCTCCAAAACAGGCTATATAATTGCCTGATGATAAGCAGTTGATCTGGAACAGACTAGAAATACACCCTGGGTTCGCAGGAAATGAGATCCAAACGATTCGCTGAGCTAGTGTCACCCCAGTGCGTTGAGGGGTTACTGTTGGGACTGTTGGGTGCCAATCCTCTCAGTCCCCTTGTATCACTTCTATTTGCGATGCATTGCTGATGCAGAATTGGACCCTCCTGGCCTGGGACGATCCATGACATTCCATGAAAGCATCCAGGGACTTCCGGAGAACATTCTGAACCTCGATCATTGGGTTGTGTGACTGTGAGTTTCCAAGCACATTCTGCCACATTGCTCAAGCTTGGGAGGAAAAATCAATGCAACAACTTTCACAACCCTTCGGAACAACGAGAGTCCAACGTCACATCCATCCCGCCGGATCTCAGGTGTCGGCAGGGCGAGGGTGTCTCTTGGTGGAGGTCCTTGAGGCCAAGACTTGGGCAGATCAAGCACGCATATATATGTATGTATATGTATGTATAGATCTGCATGTATATTAATGTATGTGCCATGTACACATAATATATATATATATGTACACATAGAGATATGGTATATGTAATCATGCATGTGTATATATATATATAATAGTGGTGTGACATTTATACTTAGACAAAAGATATGTTTGTTTGAGGTATCTATATAATATCTAATATCTAATATCTAATGTCTAATAATGTCGACTACCTATTATCTACTATCTACTATCTAATGTCTAATGTCTATCTCTACATCTTTGTCTCTCTCCCTCTCTATATCTATCTATCTAATCTAATCTATTCTAGTCTGGTCTATTCTGTTCTGTTCTATTCTATTTTGTTCTATTCTATTCTGTTCTATTCTATCCTATCCTATCGATCTATCCATTGATCCATCGATGTATCTATCTATCGGTCTATCGATCTATTGATCCATCGATCTATCGACCTATATATTATATATTGTATCTGTCTTGTCCTGTCTTATCGTGTATCATCTTATATGATTGTGTCTCAATCTACTTGAGTCAAATCTCAATCTAATCTAATCAAACCCAATCCAATCTAACCTATTCTAATCTAGCTTAGCCTGACCTAAATCCAATCCAATCTTTTCTTGTCTGATCTAATCTGTTCTCATCTGATCTGATCCTGTTTATCCTATCTATCCTATCTATCCTATCCATTCTATCTGTCCTTTCTATCCTACCTACCCTTTCTATCCCATCTATCCCATCTATCCCATCTATCCTATCTATGCTATCTATCCGTTCTATCCTATCTATTCCACCTTTCCTATTTATCCCATCTATCCCATGTATGCTATCTGTCCCATCTACCTCATCCTTATTGCATCTATCCTATCTGCCTTGTCCGAATCCTAATCCTAATTAATCCCCATCCTGATCCGTATCTTATCCTATCTATACATGGTACAGGTGTGGGTATGGGCATGACGGGGCATGTGTTAGAAATACCGTACCCGCTGATAGGGATGCCCATTTGCGTGTCGATGTGTCGAGGTTCACTGACATAGTCCCAAGGTTGGTGCCCCTTGCCACATTATCACAGGACCTGGCCCTTCACGCAGACATCAAGATGCACGTCAAGGAAACTCGGGTGTTTCTTCAAAGCCGATAGAATGTCATCATAGGTATTGACTGCCAAGGTGTCAGCGATGCTTCAGATCTCCCATGAACCCAGGAGATTCTGGACCAACACCTTGGCCGGGAACTCCTGAAGCATGCGCCAGACAGGGCGCCACAGAGGTGTGGGAATCCAGGTTGTGATCGCAGATTTTTTGAGGGCAACTGTGACCAGGTCCAAGGTGCAAACGGCACAAACGGTGAATATGCTACAAACGGCATAAAAATCATGCTACAAACGGCGGGTGAACATGCTAAGCTGCAAAGCTCAATGGCATGTTTTTTTCCGAGTGAATAGCAATGTCCTGTAATGTCAGTCAGGTCTGGGTCAAAAAATCGGTTCCAAGAAACCAACGTCAGAGATTTGTTAGGCAGTTTCAATCATTTACCAACAAATCATCAGAGATTTGTTTGTTTTCAACTTCCAAAAACCAGTCGATATATATATATATACATATACATGTATCTCTATATATATATAAATAAATATGTCCATATGTTGGTTAATGTGTTTGAATATGTTTAATTTAAATCATGGGAGGTGACCCAGCAGCCATTGATGAGCCAGGTCCCAGTTGCTCCCATCTCTGCCGCGCTACGAGCCCGCGACTTCGGCCCAGTGGGTTTCACGGCCCGAAGAGGTGCTACAGATCCGGCAGGTCTTGGATCCTCGATTGAAAGCTTGATGGAATTCATGAAAAGAAACCGTGAAAGTAGCATGAACATCATATAAATTTCATTCTAAATGCATGACATCAATTTTAAATAGTTGCTAAGTCTAAGCCAGATTTACTTTACATTCAGTTTAATTCCACTTCTCAAAGGCATGATCCATCCATCTAAATTGACGATCCTAGCCGATCTCCAGCTGCCCAGGAGGCTCGAGCCTCAACCGGAGATCTGCGTGTTGCCTTGGATTCAGAATCTTGGCGAAAGACGTGAGACCTCTGACCCAGAGGGGATGACGTTGAACCGTTGAACCACCGACCTCTGATGCAGCAAATGCTCAGGAGTGGGGCTGCATACCTGAAGCACCACCTTCAGCTACTTTGTCCAGCATTGATCTCATATCGAAGAAACAATTTGAGTTTTGGAACCTACCAAACAATCTTGCAGTAACCCTTCAAAATGGAGCTCGAGCAGCTATAGTGGAATAAAGTAGAATCTAATAGAATCTAGAAGCTACAATGAAGCTGTCATGGGAAGGTTGCTGTTTGATTTCACGTGTTTCACCCGTGCTTTAGAGACCTGGCAGACACCACTGACAGAACCAGCCAGGCTGCAATAGATGAAGTTATCTGTTTAAGAGCTGCTTCAAACCACTCACAATTTGTGGAAGAATGTACGTAGCAATTCCAGAACTTGGGGACGGTGCAAGCCATGCAACAGTACCCGTACCTATTGAGAACATTTGAGAACCAATCAAACCATTTGTTTGTCGAAGTCAAAAGGATTTGGATACTGAGGTTTTTCAACTGGCAATCCGAAACTTAGCAGCACTCCGAGATCTTCCGCCTCCTGTCAAGTGTTAGGGAAAAACTTGGCATGAATGGGAACCATGCAGGCTAAGCGGAGGACCACAGCCCCGCCCATGTGAAGACTTTGAATCTCCCAAGCCATTCAGGAGCTGATGCATATTCCAAAGTCGACCTGTTGGTCAAACGCAGTAAAGAACGCAGGACGGCCGCAGCAAAATCCTTAAGTGCTAAACTAACAAAGCTGAACCGCTCTAAACCAAAGTATTCGGCACAAGAACTGAAACTTTGGTGGATACTCCTTTTCCCCGTGGCCTCCAAGAATGCAGAAGATGGAAGGTGGCAAACTGGCATCAGCTAATTTCGGTATTCCATTTGTAGCTCAAAGAAGCTGTGTGCGGTTTGAATGGCTTCATGTTGGCTGGATCCAAGGAGACTTCATTTGGGTCATGGATGCTGCTTGGTGAAACACAAAATTGCTGGCAACATGTTGCTGTTTGTGCATCACTTCATTTCCATTGCGTCAACCATGTTGTGACGTTTTGGGATGTTTTGAGGCCATGTCTCTGCCTTCTGAAGTGGGTGCTTTGCTCACGTGGCTCCTCCAAGCGGAAGTTGCTGGGAGTGCAAGGTCATCAAGAGGATTGAAAAGGATTCAAAAGGGCCAGTTGCCGGATGAGTGGCAGAGCAGCTCAAAATTTTGGGCAAGTTTCCATGGGGGTGCCTCGGGTGATTTAGCAAATGATGGTCCATCCGAAAAAAAATCCGCGGATGGCTTTGGTACCCAACTTTGCCCCCTTGCCAATTGATATGGATTATGTGATTAGCTTCAAGGACATGGGGGTCTACATGTAGCACTCAACCAGCTCTTTAAATTGGTCATGTTGTGCAATCATCCCACATGGGTTTGTTTGAACATGTTTGAACATAGGCTGCCTCCCACATGTCATGTTTGATCATCACGTTCCGTAGATGTTCTCCATAGTATCCTATATTTTTCATGAAATTTCCTGTAAAAAATACCCGAACATACCTGCTTGGTGACTTTGTAAACCCGAAAAGTGGCTTAAACAATATAGATACTTAGTCCATCTTAGTCCATCTTAGTTCTATGAGTGAGTAAGCCATCCAACACCTCTTTTGTTAGGTCCAACTCTTTGGTTTCCACTTCGTCTCCGACGTCACGCGCTTGCAGCGCCTTGTGGATGCAGAGCTGCCATGGCACAAGGTGCGACTTGGATCTATTCGGGACATTCGATTAAATACGTATATATATATATATAACAGATTATTGGATGTTAAATCTATAGATTATAAACATGATTCGACATTGATTCGGTTTTACGATTTTACGTTTTTGCATCTCGGTTTTTATGGATTGATTGCAATGAACGCCAACCAAAAGGCCTTCGGAATTCGATATGAAAGGCATTCCACGTCCAAATCCCACCACATGTGTTGCTCCTGGGGTCTCAAGCCAATTCTATCGTCCCTTTTATCCTTGCATGTAAAGAGCGGAATCCATTGTCAACCATAACTGGAGTCCTTTGCCATCCAAAGCGCTCCTCCTTCCAAAATGACAACCGTATCCGTTCAAGGTGAAAGCAAACTGAAAGGGGAGCAAAGGATGCTAGTAGCATCACAAAATCAAAACCATGGTGAGAGTTAGTCTGAATCTGCAGGGTACGTAGATGAATTCATGGTTTGCAGGTGTTCACCAGACCTGAAAGTTGGCATAGTCTTGAAGCAAAGCAAAGCTGCAAATGTTGAAGACTGCGCTGCGCATACCAAATCCAAGTGGTTGAAATCTTCAGGAGTTGTTAGTGAACACACCCACTAAAGCACACTTGACACTGATGGTTTCAAGCCGTGAAGCTGTTTTCAATCGTTTATCATTTGGAAAAATGGAAAATGATTGCATTGCTATGCCACTGCTGTGCTTAACTTTCTCCCATGTGTCTGGGGTTTTCAGCTACCACTGATGCAGCTGCCAGCGTCGCCACCCAGGTTCTGGACCTCCAGCGAGAAGCCATGCGCCGTGAAAACACAGGGCAGATGCCAGGTGGGGATCCTGTCCTCCATCACACCTGGGGGATGTACAAAAAAATCCTCAGTAGTGTTGGTTTTCACTAGCGAACATATGGAGATTTTCTATGGATTTGTAGTTTCTGAATGTGAATATCACACACTACGGCTATGGTGGTTCTGGAAACCATGATTGGAAACCTGGTTAATTACCCCTCTTCCAGTGCGAGCCCCAGACCAAATCTCCTGCAATAGTTAACAGACCCGCGGTTGAGTGCACCCACTGAAATGCCTAGCTTGGAGTTGAAGGGTGAGTGGCTGTGATGGAGAGAAGAATCCGAAATCGGCGATGTTCAGGTCTGAACAGACTTTGCGAGATGTACTTGGCCAAACTGCTGGATGCTTGGATGAAAGTTTCATTTGCCAGCCGAAAACTTCGGACATCGTTGAACAGTTTCATGATGTTTGATGTTTTATGATGTGTGATGATGTTTTGATTATGGTTGATGATGTTTGATTATTGTTTTAAATGTTTTTCATGATGGTTGATGATGTTTTGATGATGTTTTGATGATGTTTTGATGATGTTTTGATGATGTTTTTTTGATGTTGTATGATGTCTTTATGACGCTTCATGAAGTTTTATGATGTTTGATGATGTTTTGATGATGTTTTTATGATGTTTGATGATGTCTTGATGATGTTTCTTGATGTTTGATGAAGTTGTTTTGATGTTTGATCAGGTTTAGGATGTTTTATGATTTTTTTCTGATGTTTTTGATGATGCTTGATGAGGTTTTTATGATGTTTGATGATGTTTTGATGATGTTTTTTGATGTTTGATGAAGTTGTTTTGATGTTTGATGAGGTTTAGGATGTTTTATGTTTTTTTTTTAATGTTTGATGATGTTTGATGATGTTTTCTAATGTTTTATCATGTTTGATGATGTTTTGATGATGTTTGATGAAGTTTAGTGATGTTTTTTTTGATGTTGTATGATGATTTATGTTGTTTGATGATGTTTTATGATGTTTGGTGTTTGTTGATGATTTTTTTTGATGCGTTGATGATGTTTTGATGATATTTGATGAGTTTTTTTTGTTGTACGATGTTTTTTTTGTTGTTTGATGATGTTTCATGATGTTTGATGGTGTTTCTATGACGTGTGGATGATGTGTTGATGATGTTTTTGATGTTGTATGTTGTTGTATGTCGTTTTATGATGCTTTATGATGTTTGATGTTTTTTTTGATGATGTTGTTTGATGTTTTTTGATGTTAGATGATGTTTTGATGATGTTTTGATGATGATTGATGATGTTTTTTTGATGTTGTATGACGTTTGATGTTTTTTCATTGTGTTTTATGATGTTTGATGATGGTTTGATGATGTTTTATGATGTGTTGATGATATTTTTATGATGTTTGACAATGTTTTTGATGATGTTTTTTTGATGTTGTATGACGTTTGATGTTTTTTCATGATGTTTGATGATGTTTTGATGATGTTTGAAGATGTTTTGATGATGTTTGAAGATGTTTTGATGATGTTGTATGATGTTTTATGTTGTTTGATCATGTTTCATGATGTTTGATGTTTTTTGATGATCTTTTGTGATGTTTGATGATGTTTTGATGATGATGTTTGATGATGTTTTTTGATGTTGTATGATGTTTTATGATGTTTGATGATGTTTTGATGATGTTTTATGGCATGTTGATCAGTGACGTGTTGCTTTCTGTCGGGATGACTCTGGTTCAGCATGTTGTGTTGCTTACGTATGTTTCGTAGACATGTCCCCTTCTTGGGGGAGTCATATGTCCATTTGCAAAAAATCGATGTCATTTTGGGCGTCTTATCCCCAATGCCATTCCTTCCAAGGACAAGTCCTTGCAATGTTCCAACTGGGATCAGCGACCTTTGTCTCCTGAACAGATTTGTTGCTCAGCTCCCAACTTTCGAGCATTCCCAGTACCTGGAAAGCCTAGTGCCCATTATTGTGCGCACTTTCCAAAGTGCCCGGAACTTTGGTCACTGGAAAGTGCTCCATTTTAGGAGTAGGATTTCGACGAGTATTTATGGCACTTTACGGGTATTTACGGCACTTTTACGGTTATTTTTTGTAGCAACAAATTAAGTGTGTTTTATTTTCGTGTGAGACTTGCAAAGAACCACAAAAATGGGCTACTAGGGCAAAGTAGCCTGAAACAAAAGGCAACTATGGCTTTCTCCAGGTAGATAATATCCCGGTTATCGTTTCGCAACCAGGGGAGAATGTTCCCAATTTGGATCAAAGAACAGGGAGCATAATTCAAGAACAGACCAAAAGGAAGGGAACCATTTCACAATCGCATTATAGATTTGGACAGTCAACCCTATTGACACGGGCAGGATCTGATCAGAATCCAGTCAGCTTTTAGCCAACACGATTCGAAGCGATGTTCAGGGAGAAGATGGGTGATACAATTGTAAGACCCCTATGGGTCCAATGATGTTAGTTTCGTGGCAGGGAGTGGTTCAGGAGATGTTGTGGGTAAGAAAACTATAGAAAACTTGGCAGTACCATTGCAGTACCTATACTACAAGCTCTTGGAACGCTTGCTTACTTGTACCCTGATAATAAATGATAGTAATGCCAAGACATGATTCAACTTTTTGGTCAGCTTTTCACTGCACCATGCGAAAGATCTGTTTGCAAATTGGAATTTGGTTCTCCTTGGCACCGGTGACTTTCCTGAGGCTATGCAGGATCGGATGCAGCAGTACTGCTGGACATCGCTGATGCAATGGATCCGAAAAAGGGGACGGAATCCGACCTGTTGGCCCTCGAGGAATCACCCCGTATCGTTGAAAGCGGTTGAGGACACCTTGGAAATGGTGTAACCTGGTACCCCACTTTGGGCTGTGGAATTGCTATTGCTTTATATAAACATCTTTAAACCTGCATGATTCAAAATTGAGTCAATGAGTCTTGTGCACCGCAGATGGTCTTGGCTGACACAACGCTGGAGGGCCTCAATACAGGACGCTGGAGGGTGCTCAGATAGAGATGATCGGGTCATGTCCTGTTAGATCTCCACATGGAAATTACCGTCCATTCCCATCCTCAAATTTCATCCCATGCAATGCGATCTCTAAGAGAAGCAAACTCTATGTGAGCCAAGAAAGGAGACACTGGGGGGAGTTCACAGACTCGCGCATGCAGAACATTAGCCTCTACATTTGGTGGGCTGGATAGCTATGGTGTCGGCACCAAAGAAAAAACATCAGGATTCTGATTGGTTTGACAAGGTGAGTAATTAAACATCGCAGCAGGATCCATTTGAGTTCGTTTTGGGACTTGGAAAGCAGGTACAGGAGGTAACAATATGTTCGGAAGATTGTGGCAGTACAACGTATAAGTAACGTGTCAGTAATACGTGTAAGTGGGACCACAATTTGGCCCATTTGGGTACCAGTTTCGACAGTTTCGAGAACGGATGACGCTTCTTCTCATGACCTGTCACCCATGGCTCAACAGGAAATCACAACTTCAAACGGGTGACAACTGTACTCCTTCCGATGCCGGAGGCTGGTGGACGTCTTATGTCGCAGTTGGGCTTGCAACAAGGGTTGGGCTTTGTATAATTGTATTACATTGTATTACCATCCAGAGATTGAAGATGACCTGGAAATTGCTGGAATAACTTGATAATATAATTGTTACATATCCATCCATCCATTGATAATAGCTTGTTTGATTCAGAATGACCTGGAAAGATATGGCCATATTGCAGTCCTGGAGGTGACACCTTGGTTTATAGACCTGCAAAGATGTCAAACATTGTCAAACACTTGTTGCTGTTAAATCTATCAAGGATGGCAGGTGCCATTGCCTAAAAGAATGGCAAAGTCTACCTGTAATTGGACATATGAGTATTGGTCTTACATGGTCTTACATTGTGTGTGACATGTGCGACATGTGATAAAATGCAGCCGGGAAGCATGGTCCAGGCACGTTGCCGGTCACCCTTCCAACATGTCACAGCTGTCACAACTGACTCAGGCACTGTCACAAAATTCCACCTTCGCAGAGGTTGGGAGCCTCAGTGCTGACATGACAGATGCATTCAGCACGTGGAAAGACGAAGTTTGCAATAAACAGAATGGGTATGTCCAGACGCAGGCACTGAGCGATGCATATCGAACCAACGTCCTACTATCCATGCGTGACTTTGGGGCCCAATGTTTCGACAACATGTTTCCAAAACACGTTTCTTATTTAACATCACTGCGCAGGAGCTCTTTGATTTGGTCGTTACAGTCGAGCCGATGGGATATCTTGATCTTGCAGAGCTTCAGCCCCAGAGCAAAGTTGGTGGAATATCAGTGGAAGTTGTAGAAAAGCTGCCGTTCAAAGGACCAGATTTCGCTAAGTCGACGGCCTTTGTGAAACATACTTTGCATTATTTTGCCAGATTGCATAGATCATATTTGTATTGTTCTTTGTACTCCTATTACTCATCCCCCTATGTGAGTCCTGTTTTGGGATTTTTGGGTAGCTATGGGTAGCTTAAAGCACGAAATCGAAACACCGCACAGAATCAACCCAGGGGGCCACGGCCGTGGCCACGGCAAGGTATGCCGAACACTTGCGGCCTCACATCCGGCGACGCGAGCGCGAGGAGGAAAGGAAGCTGGACCAGGCCGCAACGGCGACGCCGTTACGTTGCTTGATGCTGTTTATGATTGGTACCTGCAAAATCCACCTGTGACACCTGCACACAATTTCTGTTGTCTGAAATGCAATCATAATTTACGCTGCTTCTACAAAAAAACTGCCGTTTCAGGGGGAAAACGCTCGCGCTATCTCCAATCAGAAAGCACACATACAAAAAAAACAAAAAAACACGTCAGGGTCTTCGGTGAATACTATGTATGGAGGACTCAAGCTTTGACCGACGCCCATTTCCAGGGGAAACCCAAGTGTTGCATCATAAGTATAATTGTTTTCCAGTCTTCCAGGAAGCTCATTGATGAAAGCTAACCATGTGCAGTGGCAAATATCAGATCATCCAAGAGCACCAATCCAGTTCCAAGAACTATACTTGCAAAACTATGGCTCTAGATACGACTCTAAAAGTATCAAATTTAAAATTACATGTTTTGTCTACGCAGTTTTCTACACTTTTTTACGCTGTTTCAACGGGTTTTTATACTGTTTTTGTTCCAGCCGTTTTTTTGAAGAACACGCATCTGGGGGCTCTTGACGATCTCCACCATTGTTGGAGAAGAAACATGTCCACGCAGAGCTTCATCGAGGGCTGTGTTTGTGATTTGACTAAAAGATTCCCGCATCATGGGATCTATTTAATCCACAATTGCATCCTTTCAAATCGTGTTAAGTCCCTTTGGACACCCCGAATTGCCGTAAAACCACTTTTGCCTCTTTCCGTGACGCTCTTCAGACAAATTCATCTAATCACACTGTTCCCAGGCACAAAGGTGCACGAATACCAAAAGACGATCGAAGGCAAAATTATTGTAGTTTGCTCCAAAAAGCAGAAATTCCTGAAACAGCAGAAATCCCACACAATTGGGTTCTCAGGTATACTGTATGTGATGTGCACTGATTTGCCAGTTATGAAGTGTCCGAATATCCAAACATGTGGATATGACATGATGATGAGATTTTAGGTCAAATCAAGAAACACTTGATTCGTTGCAAGCTGCAAAAAATCTCCGATGAAGATGATACCCTGTGTTTATTTGACATAGCCATGGAAAATGGCCCATTTATAGATGATTTTCCCATCAAACCCTCCATTTATAAGGGATTTTCCATGGCTATGTTAAATAACCAGATGATATCACATTCTATATGACCATTGTTCCAGCATTTCAGGGAACCCAACAAGTGCTCAAATTTACAGACCGCTTCTCCTCGGATGTGGTTGGTAGATGTTGGTAGTACTCCAGTATTGAAATTGCTGATTATCTTGACGTTATTTGACTAATGTATATCTAGAGACGGTTCTCCCCATCATTGGTGAGGTTTGCAAAAATCATCAGACATGTATTGATAACCCATTTATTAATATCTATTGGATACTAGACAAGCGCCCACAGGTGCAACTCCTATGCATGGAACGGAAAGAACGCTTTGAGGCACAGACATCCTTTTTTTGCATCCTGGTTGGGGTGGAGGTAGTGGAGGTAGTGGAGCTTCAGCTTGCGGCAAAAGAATCTTGAAAACAACGGTATTCTTTCACAAAGACTTGATATCCAAGTCTCCAATCAGCCTCCGATGTTACTTCGTGAGTCATTTTTTGGAACTAACGTCCAACATTGGAACTCCCAGAGCTTCATTTCGGCACCAGGATGTGGAGAGAGCCACTCCCCCTCTCCACGGTGTCAGGATGCCCGGGACGAGCTGTACAGCGCTGGCTATTACTTGGCAGATCATGACCAGGCGCAGCGCCTGTGGTGAGTCGAGGAACATCGGAAGGTGAGATGCAGTGCAACCAATGGTTGGTTGGTGGTGACTGGAACCATGGAATTTTATCACTTTCCATAGATTGGGGAACAATCATCCCAACTGACGAAGTCATATTTTTCAGAGGGGTAGTCAACGGTAGGTCAACCACCAACCAGTTGATAATGGGTTAATGATGGTTCCCAATGGTTGATCATGTCTGCTGGATGCTGATTTTGGGGTGAAGCACTGGAAGGGAGGGCGCTCGAATTGCATTTGGGGTCGTGGTCATGGATTTCTACGCACTTTGGATTGAAATGCACCGAAATAGTTGGATTTGACGTTCAAACAATTCAAAGAGCCTAAGCTGCCCAAATAGATCAAATAGAGTATGAGAAGAGCGAGACTTGAAGACTTATATAATTATAAGATATCTTAAGATGGCAAAATGATGTGCGACTGTTTGTTTCACCGACGTGATCACCAGACATCGGGTTTTCCACTTCCTGCAGCTTTCCCATCGGTGGGACCAGGCCCGTCCAAAGCTTCGGAGAACAGTGCTGCAGGCGGGCATCAAAGTGAGTCAGCCACAGGGGGGCCAGGCACCAACAGCATCAACATAGACTTTATGACCAAGAAGAAACATGGCAAGAAACATGGCTATCCCTAATATGGCCAAAGATATGGCCTTCTTGAAATTGTTTGAAAATCCCAAAACTGCTCATGTGCGGTGCTAGTATCACTGAGGTATCTAACTTTCAAGATCTTTCGAGCAATCAAAACGAAGTCTTTCGGCATGGTCAAGCCTGAAACATGCAACATGACCCTTGGCACCATGCCTAAAGGAAAAGCATGGAAAAGCTATGTCTAGTTGACCAGTGGCAAAACCCGGAAAGGACCACAAAGGCTAACAGGTCGAGCAGATCCATGTTTTGGCTTAGGGTTTCAGGAGAATGGTGGCAGCATTGAAGGCGCTGAAAGGTATCCTTTGGTGAATTTCACTCGACCATGTTGCGTCAAACGCCGTCGACCTGGTGATCAGCAAAGAAAACGGGCAATTGGATAACACGGATAAGGTGGTCCCATAGATAATGACCACCGTTGCAATGGGTTCAATTTGCTGCATGAAGCAGTGGTACAGTGGTACCACAAAGTCAAGATGGGATTGATGGCCTTGAGATGCCATGAGCATGTGCCGCGGGTATAGCCATGTAAATGTACAAATACATACAACATTATACAACTAATTTCGCCTGCTGTATCCTGGCTGTTTGTTTCAGCTTTTTTGTTTTTCCACTCATCAACCTGACCAGATGCTTCGTTTCAGAATGCTTCAGATTTGGCAAACTCGTGAGTTTGCCTCAGTTCGCTTGGGAATCAGGATGGGTTGTCCCAGATTATGTCGCGTATTGTCGCGTGCGTTCGTAAACTTGGAGGACACACCACCGGTAGATCGGTAGGCAGTCACCTCTTCTAAATTGGGATCCGGGCTGAGATCCCTCTGGTACTGATCCTGGCCTGCGCGATGGCTGTGGTGATCCCAATTCAGGGGTACACTGGGTGCACAAATTTCACATCATGATGAATGTCAAAGAAACAGGAAACTGCTAATCGTTAGCAGCTAGTGGTTCATGATGGTTCAAACGATGCCTTAAACATCCTTCAACAATCTTGAACAAATAGGTGAAATGGTAGTGACCTGGTAGTGGTGCTGGTGAAGGCCAAGCCAGCCCCACCAGGCGGGCCACGACTTGTCATGCCTGGCCTTGCCTTCAGCAGAGAAGGCATGGGCATCTGCAGCATTTCATGACGAGATCATCACGACATCATGATGAGATCCTCATTGTTTTGGGGAAATTGTTGGAAGATGGCCAGTTTTTTTTGACGCGCACACACACACACCTGTGTTTGAAGACATTGTCCAGTACTATCCAGTACTCCTCAGTTTTACACCAAAAGATCTATGAGAGTCTTGAGCACAGCGAGTGCACGCCAGGAACGCAGAAAAGCAACAGAGACGCAACAGGAGCGGCAGATGTGATGGTGATCCGACTTCTGACAAGGATGCAGATCATGCAAGATGAACCTAGTAATGGAAGATGATTGGAATGTTCACCCAAAGGAAGCTGCACTGATTGGTGGCAGCAGAAATGGGAATTGACCGAGTTGTCACATCGATCTTTAGTCCCAATTGTTTCTTCCACCTGGGAAGGCGCAAGAACGGAAGGAGAAGCGCGAAGCTGCTGAAATTGCCAAGGTTTGACACGGCAGTGGCGGGTTTGAAATGCTATATTGTGCATGGGGTTTGATCCGATGTCATGCTATAATTCACCCACTTATTAGAACATTTTACTCTGCTTCAATGGCTGTTGCTCGATTGACTTTGCCATGATGCCAAAAGACCATGTTTTTTTGGGCGTTTCTGTCGCCAATCTGGGTTTGGGTTCTGCAGTTTCCTGGATGACCATCCAAATACGTGTTTTTCAACAGCCACATGGCTTGGCATTTTGGAGCAACGCCACGAAAGTTACTGTCACCAGAAAAAGCCGCTGAAAAAACAACAAACCATCAAAATAGCTCAAAATAGTAGGAAAAACATGGAACAAACATGGAAAACAACAATGAATTCGGCAATTCGGTGGAAAGGTTCGCAGGTGTTTTGAAGTTAAGGGGGGCCTGTGTTGCCGGCCTGTGGACTGGGACCAGTCTTGAGGTGGTTGTTGGGCCCACCTCACCCATTCGTGTCCGCCTCTATCAACTTACCTCCATCAAGTGTCTTTAGCAAACTTATCTTTACATCAAATTTGCCTTTTTCAAATGTGTCTCTATCAAACTTACCTCTTACCCGCTTGCCTCTATCAAACTTGAGTCTATCAAACTGAACTCGATCAAGCTTACCTCTATGGAGCTTGCTTGTCATCTCTTGTTTGTCATTTATGATCATTTATGTATGCCTTTTTTTCTCACGCAATTCATATATGTATCCAACCCGCATTATCCAATCTCTCTCTCTCTCTCTCGCTTTCTCACTTCTCTTTTCAAATACAGGAAGGCTATATAAGGCTTAGTATGTGGGGGGTCCTCGTATAGATATATATATATGTCTTTATTTATAATATAATATATATATATATGAATATTTGATGTTGCACGGAGGGTGAATCCACCAGTGATTTCTCGTTCATCCCAACAGCTTATGTCGAGGGGGAATGATTTAAAAGCCTGGCAAAATGGTGGGCATTCTGAAAATACCCAGAATGCGGCCCATACCCGTCACACCTGAAGTTTATTGAACAAATCCACCACAGCCCATTTATCATATTTATCTCCACGGAATGGAGGCAGAGCAGGAGGAAGAGGAAATGGTGCAAAAGACAGTCTTGCACATGCCTCAGATGATCTCAGATGTGGGGTGCGGCAATGAAGTGCTGCACGTTGCTGCATGTTTGCAAAAAAAACGCGAAAAAATCCTGTGAGAAAAATGTGTTTCATGTGGGGTTTGCACATGAAGGAGCAAAAGAGAGTTCACCCTAGATCGATTCTGACATGGGAGCGAACTTGCGATTTGATCTACCCATTCTGTGGTCCTAGATGCTACGTAGAATCCAACCTGAACCCTCATTCCCACTGAACCCTTCGCGTCTGTCATCACGTCCCAACACCAACACGTGAGACAAACAGGCTTTATTTGGATATATACATGGGTGCTCAAATGGAATTGTGTAGCACGATAGTCAACTGTTCATGTTCGACCCGACTTCATATGATATTTTGGTCATATTGATTCATATTGAATTTTGTAGACAGAAAACAGGGTTCAACCATGTTCAACTTCTGTAGTTCAACGTGGTTCATCTCACTGAAACCGGAAACATCACCAGATCACCACATTCCTCGAGGCAGACCAGCCTCTTCGACCCTGTGCTGATGACACCTGAGGCCATGGCCGCCATGGCTGCCATGGCCGCCATGGCCAGGAACAACCCATGATTTCTACTGTTAACCTGTTAGGAAAGCCATGGAAAGCCATAAACATCATAAACATCCGCCCACATTTTGATGGTTTACATATATGTTTACATTACGAACATTTCAGGTGCCGAAACTTGAGAAAGTCATCAAAGTCTTCAGCTGTTTTACGGGTGGCCAAGGATACACAATGGTTTTCACAAGGATTTGATTAACAAACCGAGCATGTTCAAGCCAATCAGCAAAACTGGATAAGCAAAGCGTGCACAACACTGCAGAACTACAACTTCGCAAAGGTTTTGACAATTTGACCATTCTATGTAAGGTCTCTCCAGGCCACTACAAACGGACTCATTGGAATCAAAGCTCCTGTGTAGGTACAAGAGTTCCAGCAGGAAATTCGGGGTTTCAACTCGCAGATTCAACCTTGCATTGATTTCACATTGCGAGAACTTGATGCGGAAAAGTTTTCAAGAAATCCCTAAGCTCCAAGTTGTGGCCGCAGGTCATGGAGCCTATAATTTTAAAGGTGTTTGTATTCAATCTACAATTTTTTCTGGATGCCTGGCCCAGATCTTTGTGGAAGCAAGACAGCCAGCAACCTAGCACCCTTCAATATGCTTCAAGCATTTGTGTAGACAACAGGAGAAAAAGAAACATGGAAAAGGAAGCACAACAAGAATGCGAAGCGAGGCAAGATCCAACACCACACAACAAAACAAGAGCAAATTGAGTTATTCCACAGCGTCTCACGTATCAACCACATCACAAATTCAAACGAAAGATGCTATATAATCAGATATTCTTTACAGTTCCACAATATGGAACATACCATGCCATGCAAACGAGAGAGTGATTCTCCAAAATGCTGCAAATCGTGGGGAAAAGCAGCCCCAGACCCGAAAAGAAAAAAACACCAAAGAGGTTGCTGCTTGTCGTTACTTGGTACAACTAACAGCCGCAACAAGGAAAAGGACAAGAAGATGACAACAATAGCAATACTACACTACACGAACCGGAAATTCAACCTTCGTCAATGTGCTGCAAGCACTATGCAAACAACGAGAAGAACAATACGGGGTGCATAAGAAAAGGAAGAACAACGAGAACGGTAAAAAACAAGGTCCAACATCATAACATCAATTACAATCAGGAATCTGGCAAATTTCAACTTCAACAACACATGCGCCAAAATGGTGCAAACAACATGGAAATCAAAACAACTTTTACTGTAAAATGTTGCACGCATCAGAACAACAGGGGAAACGTGATCAGCAAAAACAACCAGAAACACCAAGAAAAATTAGAACATGAAACAGCAAAGGCAAGAGCAAAAAAAAAAACGGAAACTAATTTCAAAGAAACACAGATCCAGGGTCCGGCAACATTTCGTTTGGTAGGACCGGAAGCTGCCCGTGGCCTATGACCTGGGCATTGCTGAAGCAGAGCTTTTGCTGGTTTGGCTGCCAGGGAACAATGAGGTCAGCTGCAGGGTCCAACATGGTGTTTACCAGATATTACTACCAGATATCCGTGTCGTGTCACATTTGTTATTTGGCATATTTGGATATATTTTTTGGACATATGTATGGATTTTAAGAGATTGTCTTTGGGACAAAATTCAAAAGGAAACCACCCACACATACTGGTGTTTTCATGGGAATTCACCTTGAATCAACAACAAAGCACGATGAACGCGGGGGATTGGGGGCCAACAACAACCTGTATTGGTTTTGGTCTTAATAGCATGCAACCAAAGCAACAGAGTCAGAGTTTGACCAAAAAAGAGGTTGAGACCAAAGAAAGGGACGGCTTTCCATAATATGCCAGCACAGATGTAGAACAAAAGGTTTACGTGCTGCACCCAATGTTGGCCATCTTGCTTGATGCTCTACTGCAGGGGAAAGAGCTTTCCATGTAAATTATGTCGCTGTACAATATCATGGGGCATGGAAGCAACTTGCCCCGATAGACGAGGCTCGGAGTACGTAGTTGCAATCACGGTTCCTTTTCACAAGCTCAGGTCATTTTACAGTTCCAGCTGTTTTGAGATTCTGGTCATTCACAGATATCTCAAATGATGTTATTCGTTCACCCCATAGTCATCCTGACTTATCCTTATCACCCACCTTTGTTTTTCTTTGTTTTTCTGCCAAGCTGGCCAAGCTGGCCATTCTTGGGCTCATGACTCGCTCATGAATGATCTGCGAACACCAGGATGAGGCTTTGTGGCAAGCTGCATTCCAAAAATTTCTCGAGATTTACCAAGGTGCTCCGATGGACGCCAAATGTGGCGGTATGTGACCCCAGTCCAAGGTAGTGATGCATCCAATCTAGGCTGTTTGAGTCTCGTTACTTGAAATCTGTTGGTCAATTTTGGACATCTGTTGGTCAACAGGCTGGGTACACAACAATACCCCACAAACCAAACTGTTTATGCAATAAAAGATGAACTGTTTTTGCAACTCCTGACTTGGCATGTACCAGCACCAAAGCTCAAACGAAGCCATTTTTCGGACAGTTGGTTTGAATCGATGATGCGACTCCAAGATCAGAAACTGATCTTCCAAATCCATTGCTGAGATTTTCATGTTGCTCAACAGGTGATGCCTTGCGAATCATCATCGCAGGGCGTCCTGAAGGACGGAATATCACGAAGCACTGGGGGCAACGTGGACACTGGGGGAAGTGGGAAGCATCCCCAAACCTTCCCAAATTGTTGGTCAATTGACTTCAAGTACTGGGCTCGTAGGTAATTCTTGGGTTTACAGGATTTAGATATAGAATGATATACATAGAATGATATAGAATGATATAGAATGATATAGACATATTAGATTCATATTAGATTCATATTAGATTCATATTAGATTCATATTAGATTCATATTAGATTCATATTAGATTCATATTAGTAATATGTGTGTTGTTGTTTTTCATTATTTCAAGCCTGCTCCGACGTTTCGAATCCCATCCAGGACCTGAACACCGCGCGCCTGTGTGGCATTCGTTGAGTGATCAGGACGTCCAATGGTTGTAACGTAGCCTTTCAAAACATTTCTCAACAGGTCTGAACCCAAGGTTTCAATATGTTTCAGTAGCATCTCTATTCTTTGACTTACACATTCTTGGTTGGTTTTTCAACCCGAAAGTATTGTAGGAATAGTCCCATATTCCTTGGAACATCCGTTTGACATGTTTGGATTGCTGGGAATCTCTGGATGCAGTCGCTGACCGAAAAACCAGGAAACGGTGGGACGTGGCATGGAATGGTACGAGATGCCAAAGCCCCAGATTTTGAAAAAGGACGCATCGACGCATCGATTTGCACCTAGATTTGATAAAGAAAATGAGTTTTATATAACCCATAGGATCCATGTATGGTATATATGGTAATATTTACCATCAATATACCCCAAATGTTATACTGTAGGTTTATGTTTGGCACGCTTCAGAAGGTAGGGATTCCAATGGATTCCAGATCAACCACCCACATGCGCTGAGCCAAAACCCGCCATGATTGTTGGCTGTCTAGTCATTTTGAGACAAAGATTTCAAGGAAACAATGAAGCAGCTAGCATCTCCATATCGGATTTCCAGAGAAAAGTTGGATACTATTGGATTTGATAGGCTACCTTGATCTAGCGGCGAGCCACCACATCATAACTTGGCAAAACTGTTCCCTGGCGTTTGTTCAAGGGGCAACCAGGGTTGCAATCCCTGCTGTCTTGGGCTTCAGAACGGAAATAATGTGGAACATTCACCTCAGCAAGGAAGCACCACATGAAGAGACTCCCCTGCTGATGTGTCAACATCTCTAAATGTCAAACTTAGGGCCTTTCAACCCAGAGAGATTCTGAGAGTTTGAGGTGTCAATCCTGGCTTTCTTGGTGGTATGATTGGTATGGAACCCATACGATTCTTCACTAGGCAATTCCCTGGCATCGCTGCTCGTGCCGAGGCACGACATGCCTACAGAGGAGGTGGCGGTAACGACATGCTGAGACCCCTGATGGCACAGAGGATGGTAACGACAGCAAGCATCATGATGATGATTATTGATGATTATTAGTGTATATTATTGTTATATAGTGTTATTATTATTATTATATCATAGCAGAGGTGTCTTTTTTAAAGCTAAATGATCGAAACCTCGAAACACATCAAGTGGAAATCGCTGCTCGTAGCCGTAGCTATGACCAATCCCGCTTTGGGACCTTTTGGTTCCTGACGTATCTTGGGCCAGGCCATTGCCAAAGCAGCAAAGGACAGCGGCCGATTCACTGAAGACAATTTACCCCAAAAGGATACCTGGATGAACCAGAATCTGCAAAATTGCAAGTGCTTGATTTGAACAACAAGTTTCTTCGATGCAACTTCCGATGTCGACTTTTGAGGTTGAACATGATATAAAATGATCATCTATGATCATCTATGATCATCTAAATATGATCATCGATGATCATCTATAGACCTCCAGAAAGCTAACCCATCTAACATGTCACAAAAACAGCCCCATTTTGTCAGTGGCCAATTCGTTATCCACCTGAGGACCCTGCCAGCAATGTGTCCTTCGGCCGGCCGAGTGTGGAGGCAGATGATCTCAGTGTGGGTTTCAGCTGCGGGCAGTGGCAGCGGCTGTGAACAGAAAATTGTGAAAAATGCTGAAAGATGATGAACTGGTTGGTGGTTTGGAACATGAATTTTATGACTTTCCATATATTGGGAATAATAATCCCAGCTGACTTTCATATTTTTCAGAGGGGTTGAAACCACTAACCAGTGAACAAATGTAGAAACAATGTGAAAATTATGCATACAAATTGAATCCACGACTTATACTTGACTTGCACGTTTGAGAAGCGTGCTGGCCAGACTAAATCATGCATAATCATTCAACTGGACCTCAAGTCATTCCCAATGTCATGGTTGCAGGAGCTGCATTGTATGCAAGAGATCGAGGTCTGGGGTTTGCTCGGAAGCGCTTCCGCTACAGCTGGGATTTAGATTGGATGGTGAACTATCATGCTTGGGACAGGTCAGGCATGTGCAAGTGAAACTATAGGGAAAACTCTCCAGTTTTTTTCACGACTTTACGATACAAGCATTTCTTTGCCGTTTCGGCCCATACCAACATCTGGATGCGAGCCCCAAATGTTAGCCATGTCCGATTTGATCAATGTGTTAGGTTGGTTGTGTCCATCATTCTAGGGTCTCTTATTTGTATGCCGGCCTAGTCACAACATCTATCCAATTAAATCCAATTCATAGAACTTTGCATAACTTTGCTCAATTATAAAGCATCCCCCATTGCAGGCGTGTCACTATGACATGTCACAATGTGTCCAAACATCCAAACACTATACGATGTCCTGACTATTCCTGACTTCTTGAGAAACCTCTCCCGTGCATCCAGCTGCCACTCCAGTAGGTCAGTTGCAAGCAGCTCTTCAATTTGCTCAGCGACGAGGTGCTACCGTGCAGAATTTGTTGCTCTCGTTGTGGGAAGGGAAACCAATAGGGAAGCCATGAAAACATGGCTATCATGCTGTGGATTGGTGGTTATTAGGAGATATCCCAAGGTGTATATATCTATATACGGATATATATATATATATATATCTCTATATATATATATATCTATATGAGGATATCTATATCTATATAATATATATATATATATTATATCGGTTGTTTTGACGGATGCCGGCACCAATGGTATGCTGTGTGATCAAATTTGACGTCTTACCATGTTCTTATGGGCTTCCGAAGGTTGCAAGTCACTCGTCAGGTCGCAAGGAACCAGAAGACGAAGGCACCGGTGCTCTGTGATTCCATGAATTCACCTTGGACATGGCCGTACTACTTGGGCTGACCTTCGATTTTGCGATTGGTTTGGAGTGAGACTCAGAAGCCATAAATTGCTTCCTCCAGCAGAGAACCCCGATTGACTTGTACATCTTGTACTGTCGGTGTGGGCGGTCCAAGATTCTCCAAGAATTATTGATCGCATCATTAATTATCATTCTGATTTAATTCCAAGTCACCTTGGCAATCCCATGACGGTCATGTGTCACGGTGACATTTTTGATTGCTGACCTTGGAAAAGCTTCGGATAGGGCAGGGTCTTCCTCTCAACATCAGTGGCAGGTCTCAATGGTGAATCCGTTTCGTCTTTTGGAAAAAAGCGATGTTTCGAGTTGGGTACTCAAATGTAGCTGGCTCGCCCTTCGACCAGCAGCAAAAACTATCAACAACTCTATATCTATATATGATTATGCTAGTTTTATAGTTGTTGATGATCATCCTTATATCAAAACCCTTATATCATTATCATATATGATCATCAAAAACTATTCACTGCCGGCAGCAGCTTTTGTCGTCCAGCTGCCAGGTGATTCTTGGAGGTTTCTCACAAGGTGGTGCAGTGGCCGTCGGTGCCCCAGTGTATCGAGGACTGCAGGATTCATCAGGATTCCAGATGCGACAGATGCGTGACGCCGGGGACGTTTGGGGAAAATGTGATGTTTCTTAAACTGCAAAGAAGCCATCTTTGGGGGAAGATGTTATGTTTCTCATGATATGATTCTGATATGTTTGCCCTTACCATCATATCATCTGATCATTTGTGATGAGGTTGTTGTGAGGTAGCATGAGGTAGCTACAATTTTCACAGATATGTACGGATTGTAAGGTATGGATCGAAATTTGTGTCCACTGTTTTGCCCTGTATCCAACATCCCTCACCTGCTTTGATCGGCATTTTCATTGGCTTGACCCCTGAGTTTGATAATAATATGACTATAATATTATATGTAATATATATATATAATAAATATAATATAATATAATACAATACAATATAATATAATATAATAATATAATATATATACCATATTATATATATTATATTATATATAGTATTATATTATATATATATATATCATATATATATATATATATATTATGTATATTATATACTATCTATATCATATATATTAGATATATATATTATGTATGTTCTGTAATATATATATATGTATATATAATATCATGTATTTATATTATACATATTATATTATATTAATATATATATATATATTATATTATATTATATATATATTATATACATTATATATATATTATATTGCATATATATATTATATTATATTATATATATATTATATTATATATGTTATATGTATAATATGTATAATATTATATATGTTATATGTATAATATGTATAATATTTTATATTACCTATTTCATATTACTTATGTTATATGGTATATACTAATATATATATATATGTATTATATTATACATTATATTATTCATATTATATATATAATCATTGTATATATATATATATATATCACTGGTGAATCTTCATGAAATTATATTAGATGATCATAAATGATGTTAAACACAAGTAAATCCGATGAAATCAGTGGCCCTTTGCCGGACCGGACCAGGCCTTTGCCGGCCTCTCCCGAGCAGCTCCAGTCAAGGCGAGCTCCAAAAAAATAAGGGTCGGCCTCTGGTGGGGTTCAACAGTGTTATACAAGCGCCAAGGATCCATAAGGGGGGTTTAAACGTTGAAACGTCTTGTTGGTGGTTTCAATATGATGTTTCAATGATTTGCTGACATGTGATGATATTTGATGACATTTGGCCATCAACTCTTTGTTTTCCATTGGCAGTTGTACTCCGGGTGGGTTTATCATCACTGAGATGATTCAAGCCAGCAGTAATCACCTTGGGTCAACTGCCTTGAGACATGGCGAGTTGCAGCAAATCACCGAATTTATAGCGCCGGCAGCATGGCCAATTCAAGACGATCTTCCAAGGAAACGATTGAAATTTCTTTGGGAGTGGGGAACAGCATTTCCAAACATATATATATATATATGTATATATATATATAGCATCTTTTCCAATATTTTCCAAAGATATTTTGCAAAGATGGGTTTCACATGTTGTTTTCCCCTGATTTCTCCAACCATCTCAGTGCCCAGGTTCAACAGCAGCTGACCTCTTTGCTGTGTTGCGGCTGTGCTGTCGGGGGCCGAGCTCGAGCTAAGGGATATGACCCTTTTGTGGCCATAAAAAGGAGGTCCCCAAATTGGGGGTGCCATGGTTGCTATATATGTTCAACAATCCTTGATTTTCATGGTATTTAATATGTATTTCTTATATTTCTCCCACTCACGGCATGGTTCATGTTGAAACCACTGAGCATCCACGCCAGAGAAATTTACAAAGTGCTGTCCTGCGTTGAAACTTCGCAGCTCAGAGGATGAGTCTCTAGCAGATTCTGGGTCCTCTTTGCTGCAGCGTCTTCCCTTTAGAGCAAGAAATCGAAAACTGGAAGTTCTATTGTCCAGAATCTCAAGGTGCCATCTATGTTGCCGTAATTTGTTGTTCTAATTGGGGGCAAATCTGATTTGTCTAGTTGATGAGATTCTATGCAAACATATGCAAACCAACACCCATGTCCTTTGTCGCAAATAGATCTTGGTGGTCACAGCTATTGGCAATAGGTAACAGCCCACTCCGCGCGAATTCAACGACGCCACCACGAGCATGATTTGGAAGAGGTAATTCACCCTGAAATATGTCCCTGTCAAGGAGATACAAGCCTCGTGTGTTTTTTTTTGCCGGATGGTCATGGATGATCAATGAATGGCGTCCTGCTGGAAATGGGTCAGGTGCCAGGTTTTCAGTATTTGGCCTCAAAGATGCAGGTGCCCAGCCGGTTTCTCACGGAATTTCACACTTTGGTCACAAAACAAAGCCATGTAGGAAAGGTTGGACAAACGCCAGTATATTTGGAAGTTATGAACAGCACTCTCTAGGACTAGGAGTAAAGCTGCACAGCTCCTGTGCAGATCACGATTCCGCTTCCATGGACATAGAAACTTGATGAAACTTGACACATCTCAATCTGATTCAATCTCCACATTAAACACCTCCCAAATGGTCCCGAACATGTGAGCACTCATGTGTAGATCCTCTACTAGAACATGGTTTCTGGATCTTTCTGGGAGCTGTTTAATATCTATCGGAGGATGGGATTATTTGCTGTCGCGTTCAGGCTGCATGTTTGCAGAGGAGAGATTCCCCAGAGGATTCGCCATTTCCATCTGTGCTGGGACCTCAATCGACCCACATGGATGCCATGCTGTAAATGCAAGCTGAGTTGTGAATTTCCGATGCCCAAATTGTCCAAACCTACAATTATGTTCAAATGCATCCATAAGAAAAGAACAGGAACAGTGACTTGCAAATGTGATGAAAGTATGTGAAATATGTGGATGTTTGCTTTCAGCTGCGCTAGTTAGCTAATGTTAGCTACTCGGCCCCATTTCATGCTTCTCCCAGGCTTCGGCTCAAGTCATGTAAACGAGCAGGTCAGATGCAACACAGATGCAACAGCTGGTGATGATCTATGATAGTTCTACCTTGTTATACCATTCTACCTTGTTCTCCCTTTAGCAAAAGCACCATTCTGCGTTGTGGAAGTTGGTAAACGTCGACTCAAGGCATGACCAGCAACGCTGGAAGCTCGCTGGAACCAATTGGACCAATGGTCTTAAAATAGAGAGGGCACAACCAGAACTTAACGACAAAATGGGGCCTCGGCCTTGGCCCCCAACTCGCTTAGAGCCATGAAAGGCCCATATCTTACCACGTTTTGAGCTGCCCCGGGCAAAGATGCTGCTTCAAGCTTGGTACGTTGCTTGCTGTGGACCGAAAAGGAGGTTACAAATGGTGACAACATGTCTGAAATAAGTGTGGTGGATCCGATCTATTGAGGTTTCAACTGCTCAGGACCAGTTCAGAAGCCTTGGCCACGCAAATCCAGCAATACCTTTCCCTAGACATGTAGCAAGCTAAGAATTACAGTACCCCCGGGCCAGGCTTCACAATGCTCAGGTGATCCTACTCTGTGTTACGCTCTTTGTGCTCGCAAGTCCCTGGGCCAATCAGAATGCGTCCCTGCCCTGCTCCGATAGACAATAAACTTCATAAACTGGAGAATGAATTGCAGTTTTCAACGTTGGGAATGTCCACCCTCTTTCATCCTCTTTCCTATACTTCTAGCTCCTTTTCTGTCCTAAGAGTCTCTTTTTTTGAGGTACGCATCGGTACACCAAGCTTTTGAACCTAACATGCAAAAGCTCGCAGAGATTCCCAGAGACATTTAGATATCTATGATTATCTATGATCTTCCGGCTTTTCCTGACCTCTCATGATCTGTGGAGATTCTATGTCGAAAATCGACATCATAGGGCTCTAAGGCCCAGGTCTTCCCAGGTATTCCCATCGTTTCCCAGGGCGGCATTGGTCAAAGCGCCGTGCCCGTGCGCGTGGCCATGCACCAGTGCCCATAGCCACTTCTACACGACTGGCGCAGGAGAGCAGCGCAGATTCGATCAACGAACCGCTTACCCTTTGGTAATCTAACATGGCAATTGAAAATCCATTAAAAAAAACACTGAACATCCATGAAAATCCACTTATAACATCTTATAACATTTTGATATGTTTTAAATGGGAAAGTTGTCCATAAATGGTGGCACTTAGACTCAGACACTCACCGCATGGTTTAAACATCCGTTCGTTAAACCGTCAGAGTTGAAAAGATAAACTTATGTCACTGTTTAACCACTGGTTAATATATAAGCATCCACTGATTTAAGAAGGTTGTCAGCTGAATAGCGTCATCATCGTTGATAAGCCATCAGATCATGTTTCACCGTTCGGATCATGGTTGTTTTTGTGTTCAGCATGAACCAGGCAGACCCATCTCGGTGGCAGCACTACACAACAGCTGATTTGCAGGTCACGACCACTTTGTTCACGAAATCTGGGGCAGATCAATTTCAGATCATCCTATCATATTTATTTCTATTCATATCTCATATATCAATCATATATCCTATCATATCTCATACATCTTAAATTAATTTTAAATTATATATATATTTATATGATTTCCGAAGGGAAGGCCAGTTCACCTTATATGTTCACCTTATATGTTCACGCGGAATGCCCGGCGAACGCCAGGACATCACTCGCGAGGTCTTGGCCCTGGAGCCACGGGGGTCCCATCGACAACACCGGCGGCTTCCGATGGATTTCCCGCAGCTCGTTGGAACATTATTGGAAAATGATGGAAAATTTGTTGGAAACACCTAATATCTAATACAATATAAAATATAATATAATGCATTATGATATGATCTAATATTTACTATATACGGTACTTAATAAATCTTAATAATATATGATCGTCACCTAATACTCTTTGCCACGGTCCACAACCTTGACTTTCCAGGTCTAGGTCAGATCCACCAGCCCGGCACAGGTTGGATTCTTCACGGATTTTTTGATGTTGGATGATGTTAGGGGTCCAGGACAAAGGAAATCCACGAAGGGAGCCAGAAGATACCAGAAGTATATATCCAGATTCAGATGTCTCCAGAAGTGTCCAGAAGGTTCCAGACATATTTTAAGGATTTTGAGGAGAGAGATGTGATCCGTTACAATCCCCAGGATCCTCTCCGAAACCTCCAAGGAAAGTCCGAATTCTTCTGCAGCAGATCGAGAGGCCATGGAGCCCAAGTAGATCAGTTTCGCTTCCCAATTTTCAAAATGGTTATATGCACAACAAGCAATCATGAACACATTTCATCATGTTTCATTATATGTCCAAAAAAGCTTGCGTTCACAGAAAAATATCAGAGTTCTGTTTATTTGATCCATGGTTCAGGCCAAAACAATAGTCCCACAGTCACGGAGTTGATGTCCCGCAGGAATTTTCCGAACTGCGGAAGCTTCCAGTTGAGTCTTAAGAAATGCATTTCTAGGAATTGCAGTTGCAAAATGTTGCCGGTTGTTGCACGTGAAGTTATTTAAAATCATATAAAATCATGCCACATTGACATGTCAGCAGTGTGTGTGTGTGTCAGTGTAAGTGTGAGTGTGAGTGTGGGTGTCAGTGTAAGTGTGAGTGTGAGTGTGTGTGTCAGTGTAAGTGTGAGTGTGAGTGTGTGTGTCAGTGTGAGTGTGAGTGTGTGTGTGAGTGTGAGAGAGAGAGAGTCTGTGTGTGTATGGGTCGTTCAAAGCATGGACCCCTGCACGCTCCATTTTTGATTTACAACAAGCAGAGGGCGATGACTCGCGTGTGACTGTCGGATCCACTAGCTTGTAACATCTTGTAACTGTGGAATCCACTCGTTTGTGACTGTCTCGAACCATCAACATTATATATTAAGCATCATGGATACCACCGAAATCATCATGATCAAATATATCATCACCATCACCTTGAATCATCACCTCAAGCCCAGCTACTGTATTTCAATTGTAAGTCGAATGAAGTCAGTGGAAAACTACCCGTGTGAAGTCCCAGTGAACGTTATTCCATCCAAGCCGAAACAGGACCCAATCACCAGCATTTGGCCCAAGTTTGCTGCCTTTGCCCACCAAGACACAGCAGGTACAGCATTTCATATATAATTATATATATAGCTATTATATTTAGCTTGATTTTTCATGTACCAGTCGTAGTAATACGTAGTGTTGAGTTGTGCGATGTTGTGTTGAATTGCTTGTAGCTCGGAAGCTTTAAGATTTGAAGGTCAATGCGCCTTCAGTCACTGATGTAAAGAGGGGACATCAGCGATAATGAATTATACTTTATAATACTTTCATGTCAACGATTCCACTCTTGCTGACTGTCACCAAAGGAGGTCCCCCGCTTTTTGCTCTTCAGAGGTATTTGCCTGAGCAGCTGAAAGAGCGTGCACATCTCTGGTTGGGAAATGACCATGAACTGCCCGTGGAACCGCACGAGGTTGGAGTGATTACAATTGGAACAGATTGGAACAAACAGATTGGCTGTTGATTTTCTGTCTGAAAGAATTGACATTTCAAGTCGCAACTTTTAGCCATGAATCTCGAGTCTGTTCAAGTCATGTCATTGGTGGCGTTGAAAAGGCAAGCTGCTTGTGAAGTGGCAAAGTGTGGCAAACATGTCTCCGAATGCACAAAATGTGGTATACGGTATATACTTTGCTTGTAGTTGTGTTTGGCGGATTGGGAATTGCATAATGATGACACGGTTCCAAGTTTTCCATTGTCCACACGGAAATGCGGGGCCCACAGCCATGATACGGAAAACCTGGAAATGTAACGGGCCCGATACGGGCCCGTGCACTGAAATGCAGAGCTCTTTCAAATCCGAAGTGGACTTGATGCTCTGGGATGATGGGTTAGAATCGGTTAGAATATCAAGCACACAGGTTTTCTGGCAGCAATTCCCAAGATTCCAGTTTTGGTAGAGGATTCGCTAACGTTCCAGGCATTGCGTGGGGCTGCTGCTGGAGCTGCTGGAGACTGGTGGCCAGAGCTATTGATTGGTTTGGCAGGTGAACCACGCTTTGCAGGCGCCCTTCGCCAGCCCTTCGCCACGCCACCACTCATCGGCAATTTTTGGGGGTCAAACCAGCTGCGGCAACGAGGTTCTGGCACAGATGCAGATGATCAGTTCACACCCGGGGCTGATGCTGCGGAGTTGTTGGGCCGAGCTCAAGAGATATTGGCAGCGTGTAAAGACCCCAGGATGCATCTTGGCTGATGTCATTCTGTCATGGGACACCTTTTTCCAAGGTGTAGGAACTTGTGAAACGAGAGGCAAAATGTTTTGGGAGATTTGCTGAGGCATTTTATAGTTCAGATATTCTTTCGGGTTCAAAACAGAGATTGAGATTTGGGACCCTTTCATCCACAATCCATTGTATTTTACCGTTTTAAGACTGCGCTCTGCATTTTTCCGACGGATAGGAAGAGCCAGCTAGCAAACAAAACAGAACAAAACAGTTCTCCGAGGATGTGAAAATTCTACTGACACACGGGTAATAGTAGCATGATTTTTGATAGTTTGTCTGGATTTGAGCGTTTCTGTCCTTGTTGCCTAATAGATTCCTAAAGTTGTTCCATTTCTGCTTGGTATTTAAGCTCCGTTCGGTTCTTCAAGCTGAAACGAATCCCGGTGGATTGGGCCAGGCATGAAGCCCTTGACGGACTAAGCATTCGCTGTGTGCTGGAGAGACTGGGCAGAATCCAAAGCGATGTCCGTTTGATCACCGACATGGCATGGCCAACCATGCACAGTGACATATAATGACATATAATGACATATAATGACATATAATGACACATAATGACATATAATGACAAATATAATGACATGTATAATACAATATAGTGACATACAGTGTCAGTGACAGGGTAAAATCGGAATGCAATTATCCCCAAGAGAGGAAGGGTGACAGAGGTTCAGTTTGGCCACGTGTCGTCCACATATAGTTGAGTGAGCCAGCTCTCGTCATATCGAGTCTCAGGAAAGCTCCGCATCACTTTGTGTGGTTTGCTGAAGCACCTGGCTCTCCAGTTCCATTTGTGGTTTCAGAAACAGCGCCTGGAAGCGGAGCCACGGGATGCCAGGGGATGCCACGGGATTTCCGCACGGGATGCCATTGGCTGTGCTGAAACACTAATCTCTGAGGGCAATGGAATCAGACAACCACATACAGTGGCATGCCTATGGCAGACTTGGCTCATGAACATGGAATGGTCAGTGAATATTGGGCTTTTTGAACATGCCCTCAGGACCTGATTTTGGACTATTCTGCGAAGAATACGGTGATTTTGGTGGTCTTCATTCTTCATTTTTTGTGCAAAATGATGGTGTTCATTTTTAAAAAGTGATAACTCAGTAGTGACAACATGTGATAACTTGGAATTTCACAACGGGATCAACAGCCTGTCAACAGCAATGGCAGTCTTGCGATCGCGACCCGACTGGCCCCTGAGCCCAGGTGATTCAGACCACCTTGCCCATCGATGCAGTCGTATGGTCCATCTACTCTCCCGAAGAGCGTTCCGCAGCTTGAGCCAGTCCAACAGTCCAACAGTCCAACAGTCCAACATGGTTTCGCTATGTTTCGCTATGGTTCTATTGTTTGTGGCGATCACGGACCTGTTCGGAAATCCAGAAAGATCAGACTCTTTGCTTTAAGCATCTTTAAGCCATTTGGATCCATTTGGATAATTTTGAAGAACAAAATGGTTTGGATCCATTTGAAGAATTTGAAGAACAAGGACATCTTGAGTTACAATGAGTTACAGGCAACGTTTGAAGTCGTGTTTTTGTGACTTGGTGCATCAGTGCTCGCAGCTACGGCATAGCTGCATCTTTGACTCTGGGAGATCAACACTGTAAACTGGAAGCAATTTCATACAAGTTACTGTGGGGATCTATGGGGTAGAACCTCCCAAAATTCCCAAAGCCAAGAATTGCCTAGCCAAACACCGCACTTCAGCGTGTATTGTGTGAAGATCGGATGATTACTGATATATCTGAAATGATCCAGGCAAACTTTGATGTTTTGCGTCCAACTTTGACCCAGGCTGATGTTTTTTTTTTGGGCAGGTTTGAAATGGGACAAGAGCCCATTTGTGGCCCATGAGATCTTGCATCCCGGTGGAGTTCAGAGCAGGGCGTTCCGAGATTTTCTGTTTCTCGGTCGCGGTCTAGCCATAGGTCGCCATGGATTTAGCCCTGAGAGATGGGCGCGGGAGTTTTCTGGCCCCGAAACTTTGAGATATGGTCAGAAAATATCAGAAAATGACTTATAATGTCATATACCGATATGGTGTACCGTTAAAAATCCGTTCAATTTGTATGGATGTGGAGTCAATCCTTGTGTCTCTCTGAACAGCTCAAAAGCATCAGATGAAGACCATGTTCATCTTGCACATTCTTGCATTCTTGCACCTTGGATGTGTTTCTGTGAATCCACACCGCTGACGGAATCGCCAGTCGCGTGTTTGTATTTCACTCTCCAAATCCATAAATCCAAGGTACTCCAGAGTCACCATTGCACCTGGTATCAGCGATCGAGATCTTGTACAAGAGCGCTTCCTTACTAGGCTACCAGACCAGTCCCTGGGACCTAACGGAGCTTTGAATGATGTTTTCTCAACTGCAGCCTGCCACGGAAATCTCTGAGTTGTGATGATGGACCCTGGGTGCAGGGGGGAACTGGAGGATGTCAGCATGTCAGCGATATCGCATTATTCAGCATTTCATGGAAGCACATGACCCAGAGACATTCTTGGACACCTGGTGCATGTGTCCCCATGGCGGGGCAACTGCCCAAGATATTATCTGGACTTGCCCTTTTGCCATTCCCGGTGTTGCTACAGTCAACTTTGAAACCATCCCAGCCCAGTTTTCAGGGCAATGTTGATGTTCTTCATCTATCTTGATCTGATGATATCTTCAACTTAGGAGTGGCTATGCAATTTTGATGTCCTCTTGCTCGGATGAGATAGCTGCTAGCCTTGGCCGACCGGAGCCTTGAATACTCTTGGGACACAAGTTGCTGAGAAACTACCGAGATGTCTGTGATCCATTTCGCTTTCGACTTATTGCGCTTCTTTTTGCAGTTCTCCGTCAGCTGCCGTTTTCTCATTGGATCCGCAAATAATTGGGAATGGATGGTTTGGACATTTGTACTAAGTCTGAGACTGGTTTGATTGAAACTTTCCTGGCATCCGAGCCTGATGCACAGCAGCTCAACGAAGGATTCTACAGACGTGGTTCGGACAAAGGATCTTTTGTCTGCATACATTCTGAAACCCTGCGAACATGGACGCTCGGCATGGTTTGACAAAGGGGCCCTGGAGGGTTTTGTAGATGAATGGTTTGCTGTTTGCTTAGAAGAAAGGCGCTGTCCTCATGCAGGGCTGTTGTAACTCGTAGTGCGACTGTGAAACTCCCCGGAGAGCAGCTTTGTCTGGGAAAAAATTGGCCTTCTGAATTTCTGAAGCCACGTCAGTCACAACCCCAGGCATTCTGCTGACGACGCTTTCGCAGAAGGATGTGGGAAGCCATGTCCCATCCTTCTTTCAACACATGGCACGCAGTGTCGGCAAGCGAAAACCGCTTGAAATGGCGCAGCAACTGGAACGACATTGTCGGCGGTCCTGAAAAAAACAGGTTGCAAGATGTTTCAAGTTCATCAGAAAGGTTAGACCATGATAGACCATGTGCAGTCGATGCTATGCAATGCCTTGCAATGGTTTGCAGCACTTGAACACAGCAATCCCTTAACAGAAGCTGGTGCATTTTGGAACCTGTTCAGGATCAAAGGATGATGACGGGAGTAGATTGTGAATGTCAGGGAAGAATGTGAGAAGTAATGCGTTCTGCGATTCATCTCCAAATTTTCAAGACAAAATAGACAAAGAACATATTTATGCAAGTGCTTCATATGTTGCTTTACAAGGAATTCCATGCAAGCACTATGTTTTCATATGTTTTCTAGATTGCGATAGTTGGTGAAGTCTAGACTCTCCAGACCCCGAACTCGGGCGGTTGTGGTGCAAGTCATTGCCCAGGAAGTTGATCTATTGTGAGAACGATCCGGAGGCCGTGGAACCGTGGATCCGTCCAGACTCTGGTAAACACAACTCAACGGTTTGTTGAGGGGATGCATGAATCAATCTGGATGGATATCATCAGTTTACAAGTCAATTCTTTGTTCCATTTACCACACGTACGTACCAGCCGTACCAGCTGTACCACCGACAGATTCTGCGGAGGTCGTCGGTCCAAGAAGCTGCAAAAAGCCAAAACCAGCCACAAGAAGCCACAACAACGTAGGAATATTCCATAATATTCCGTATACTTCTTGGATGCAACAGTTGGCAACAGCAAGAAGGAACAACAATTCTTGGTCCAGTCTGGTCTGGTGAGTCTGCACTCTGGTGACCCTGAAACGACCCTGAGACGTTTGAGATATGTGATCCATTGTGATCCACAGTATCGACACAATCAACACGGCTGACTTTCAATTCTTTGTGAAGTCCATGGGAAGTCCAGGGGCACACAAGAAAACTTACCAATGACACTTGTCAAGTGTTGAAAGGCATTGTCCAAGGCTGCGATGGGAAGCAATCGCCCGTAAATATTGGTAACAACAGTCACTTTCTGGTGATGCCTTGAAGGGAGGTTATGCCATTGGTGGGGGGATGCGAGGATGACAGAAGTCTAGCCGTGAGGTTTTCCAAATTTGACTGCTGGCTCTGTAGGTTTCAGATCGCTATGTGAGCACGATTCTGAGCCTGTGCAACAGGTGTGGTAGGGCAATTCAATGGAGAGGACAGCCAACAAAAATGCCAGACTCATAAGGGCCAAGATACGGATTGCTTGACGGTGTTTCATGGCTTCAGGATTTTCTTGGGTGGTCACACTCTGACAGGTTTGAACATCCTGCAGCGTTGCATAGCTTCAAAGTTGAAATCAAGGACAGGGGCCATGACCCAGCCACAACACACCCTGGGTTCCGTGGCAGGTTTGCGCAGAAAGATTGCCGGGGACATTCACACCTAGGAACATTTACGGAGGATACTTTCAAAATAAATGGACGAGCCCCAGTTCATTTGTGGCCGGAAATGGCTGAGTTCCCCAGTTCAGGCAGCATCTTAGACGAGATCTAAAGTTGTTAATAGTTGTTATAAGTTTTTTGGGGTTCAACATGGTTCAAACATGTTCAAACTATTTTGGGAAGCACCAAGTGACCAAGTGGTTGTTGTGTCAGTTGTGTCTCATGGATTCTGATGCTGGTCTCTCAGGAGCAACTTCCAGGTGGTCCCAGGCCCATCCCTGGATTACCTGAACAGTGGCTGCCTTCCATCATGAAGGAGGCTGGGCACACCAAACCATGCCCCAAATAGAATGCCAAGCGATTGTGGATGGTTTATAGATGTTTATAGTTTATACAATTTTATAGATTTTTATAGAGAGCAACGGAAATAGAACCGAGCAGACCAGATATGACCAGATACTGGACATTGAACAGCCGCAAGATCTGGAAGAAGAAATCAGATGAGTTCGCACTGGGATGTTGTCTATTGTTGTCTTCTGGCGGCTGCAGCCATGAAGCTGCTGGGGGCACCGTGCCAGGTTTAGGAAACAAAGTCAGCGAAATGCGACGCAATGAACACCCAATGAACATCTCCCCTTTGCAGGTCTTGGAGAGCTTGGCTTTTCCTGCGAGTTGAGGAAAAGAGCAGCAGATGCAGCGACTGTTTCTGTTGGAGACACTCCCATGATCCGATGTGACAAGCTGCGGTGCCAACTGAGCTCATGTGGTCAGCTTGAGAATTGTCACCCGGCCAGCGATGTCGACCAAGTCAACTTAGGCACTGATGGTACCGGGAAACCTAGACTACCCTGCAGTCTTCTAACATGGCAATGTGAGGGGAACCATGCATTCATATGCATAAAGGATTTTCCTACTACATACACAGAAAATCTTTGGATGTTCCATTGCTTGGCACCGTACGTTAGGATTAGAATGGATTAGATGGGTCTCACTCGGTATCACTATGTATCACTGGCATCTAAATTGTCTGTCCCTTCTCGGCCTCTCGGTCCAAGAAAAAAACTCGTGTTTGTTGACACGAGACGCATCATGGCCGGGGTCAAGTTGTGCCTGGGGCAGCGAAATGTGGAGCCCGTTGCGGTTGATTTGCCTTACGTCCCTGTAGCTTTTGGAAGGGATCTTTTGGGGAGTTCAAGATTGTTTAAATGTTCGATGGGAAAGGCTAGCGGCTAGCAGGTTCTGTAATTACCTCAAAGATTGCGACTGATTCGGCCGAACGGTAAACCGACCATGCGGAATACGTACATCTTTAGCAAGCATGTGAGTAATGAGATGTGAATGAATGTGTCATCAACAATCGTAATCATATGAAACTGGTTGCTCACAGCTGCCGCTGTGTCGTTGTTGTCCTTCGTTGCTTCTTTGCTCAGGCAATGGAAGAGGCAGGGTTAACCACGTGGATCCCTTGGTGCTTGTGACTTGTGACGGTTGGAACTTTGAACTTGTCGGAGTCGAATTTAATATTAATGGTGGTAAAATTCTAGTGTAATAAAACCTCCTTGGAGTTTTTCACAATTCAGAATCATGGTCAGTGGTTTTGTGATTAATTTCGTGGCAGTCCATGCTATTTGTGGCAGTCCATGATTGTTCAACATGGATTTGAGGGTCATATGACGACAATCAAAGTCTTCTAGAACAGCAAGAAGCAGATCTCACTCTGCATCCCAGGTTTTTCACGCCCTGTGAGGATGAACGCCCTGATGGCCCGTACTGCTCAAATACATCTTTTCTAGATACCCATCGTTTTCGTGGTAGACTTCCAGGTTTACTATAAACTATGATAATTATACATCTATGTTTATACTGTAGTCATGGTTTATCTCTCTCTCTCTCTCTTCGAGTTACTCTGCATGCTCACCAGGGCATACTGTCCCAATTACTAGTAGAATTTATTAGATGTATAGATTATAGATGTATCACCTGGGACAGGTAGGCATCACCGTCTTGATGCTGGACTCCTTGAAAGGCAAGAGTGGTTGGAAGTTGAACCATGTTGAGGTTGGGCAGATGTTCGCCACAACTGAAGCTCAAGCAGTTGCTGCCTATGGTTCATGCTTTTGAGGCCTCAACCTATGGGATTATCTTTTTTTCTCTGCAATACTTGGATTTCTTGTTGCATGTGGTTTATTATCTCAACACTGGTTGCGACAGGTGCAACAGGGAACAGCAGCAGAATCTTGAGCCTTGTGCGTCACTGGGCAGAGGTTCTGGTGCTGGGGTATGGAGTAGCTGAGTGGCAACACATCTTGATTGGTCAGTCGTGATCAGACTGGCTGGTAGGATGTAGAATCCATGAGACATAGCGCTTTCTGCGCACAGCAGATGACGGCAGATCCAGGGATGGGCAGAGAAGGCCCTCCAGTTGCCATGTATCAAGTCCAGGTTTGCGTCCAAGACTCGATTGTTTGGACTTGTTTCTGCCATGCTAGAATGGAATTCCCAAATGCCAAAGACCTAAGAGTCAAATATGGAAATGAACAACGTTCTTGATGTTCTTGCCACCAATTCAAGATGTGTTGAATGTGTTGGCCCCAATTTTCCCAGATTTCAGGACCAGTTGAAAGCCAGAAAACTGGCAGAGTTGAGCCAAGTTGAGGAAAAGCAGAGCAAAGCCACAGTGGCGGAGAGCTTTGCGCGGTGTATGCTGCGGCCATTGATGCTTACAGCTGTCCGAAGGCGACAGCGGTTTGCCAAGTGAAGCGCATAGTGAGCATATTGAGCACTGATTTCTATTGATTTCCATTGATTTCTATTGATTTCTATTGATTTCTGATCAGTGTAGAACTCAAGTCCTTGTGTTTTCTGTGCGCTATAAATTTGGCGATAAATCTGGCTTTTGAATGCTTTTGAATGAAAAGCATAGCACATTTATGCCACTTGGATGTGGAAATGGAACGAGCAAATGACTGGTCAGCACTATTTAAACTATGTCAGACTATGTCTATTTCCATTCAAGCAGTACTTGTAGCTGATATAATGCCTGGCATGTTGCCCTGATGATCTGAATCCTCCTTTAGCCACTCTTCCTATAGGCCACTCAAGATGAAGAATATCGCGAACTTTGTGTCAAGTACATGCTTGAGCTCTGCCATGTGGATGTCCCTCAGCGTTTGCTTTAGCTGTGGATGTGATGAAATGGGGAGATCAACAGAATGTCAGGTGGTGTCAGGTGTCTAAGCCACTAGATATCACCTCTAAAGTGGGAATACATTCTGGATCATTCTGGTATTTCTGTACTGTAAGATCTGTAAGATATGCATAAAATCGACATTGGAAGGTGAAACCATCCCCCTCTAGTGATGATTTGGCAAGTTTACTGACCACATTGGAACATCACCGAAAGGTACAAAAAGACGTTGGAAGAATACATATAGATACTGTATCCAATGATGAAAGATGGATCTAACATTTGCATACTCGCCTATATCAGCTGAGTCGTGCTTCGTAGTTTTGGTACTGTAGCACCACTGTTGCCTCATGCATTACATCTCGTGTGTGTCCTGAATTCAAGGTGAATGAAGCTCGCGAATTTCACAATCGCCAGAGAGCTTTCGGTGTCCCGACCGGTGAAAGTTGAGACGTGGAGATATAGGTAAGACCAGGTAAGAAGAGAAGAGACAGCTCCAAGAAAGAAATCAAAAAGGAACGCAGGTTTGGATCAGATCGATTGCAGACCCCCAATTCTCCTTGCATATCGTGCATCCACAAAAGGTTCGCATTGGCACAGAGCGAATCACATCCAAAGCATTCCCTTCGCTTCGCAAACTGAGGATGGGTCAAAACCTGTTTATCACCATGTTTGGGGGAATAAACATCCATTAGCCAGCTATTTTTTGGGTATCATCCGGGTACCACGGTTTTGACCCATAACGGACCTGCTCCAGGTGTAACCAGTGATGCCCGGATGTATGCGGCGCGTGCCTCCCTGGAAGAACGTGAAGGAGACGAAAAGAAGGCCATGAAGATTCTTCAGGCGGGACACTGAGCACATCTATAGAGGTTTCTTTAGTCATGGGGAATCCCCACGTCACAATACTTGTTTCAAGACTCAAGACTAAGTCATGATGATTTAATGATTCCGATGATTTGGGGGTACTAGATTCGACTTCGACAGATTCCACATAGTTTCGAACATGTCCAACTGGATGAGAGGTGATGAATAGTTGTCATTGTTTAATGGACTATAAAAATTAGTAAAGCAATTATTTTGATCCATGGTAAAATTGGGATGGTTTCCCTCATGGCATGTGCACCGACTAGGAAGGGATTCGCGCTGGGGCTCAACCTGCTGAACTTCTAAAGAAGCCCGGATCATAGAAACGCAGGTGCCACTGAGCACATCTGGGGGTTCCGAAAATTGGGGTACCCCAAGTCACCATGGGTTTCAATATCAAAATGGTCTATATATATATAATATATATATAATATAATATATATATATAATATTATATATATATAAATATAATATATATATATAACTTGGATGATTGGGGGTACCCCTATTTCGGAAACCCTCATCTGAGCATATCTGAGCAACTGAAAAGACTTGAAAAGAACTGTTTGTCTTCGCATGGAGGGCCAGGGTACTGCTACTTGCAAAGGCCCCTTGCAAGTGAACATGTACAGCACGTATCAGAATCGTCCAGGAAAAGACAGATGACACTTAAAAAGGCTAGAGACATGCTGAGATGGAGGAAAACAAGCTTGTTCCCATTCCGTAGACCAAGGGTCTTACTGCATGTACTCTTGAACTGGAAAGATGATGAAAGATGCGTTTTGGCTCCATCTGATCATATGCGGGACATCAGCTCTGCAATATCTATTTGTAGCATGTCGATGCATTTTTTCGCCTAGAACATGGGACGATTTTACAAAAGTGACGCCTGACTCCAGGAAACTGAGCGCCACAGACATCCCATCCGGTCAGTTGTGAGTGCTACGCAGCCATTTGTGCGGTCTCAGACTGGATTCCAGACATTGCTCGCACCATGTCCTTGGCTCTGGGTGGCCTTCCAAGCGTGCTGCCGGAGGACAAGCTTGCGGAACTCAAGGAGACCGCGGCGAAGCTCTGCGCGCCAGGCCGGGTGTGGTGAAAACATGTGAAAAAACCATGGCAATTGAAATTCAGCCATGAAACAAGACAAAAAAAGGACCGGATAACCCATGAATACCCATGATAACCCTACATGTTAAGCTTTACAACAACGAGGCGGGATAGAGAAAAGTTGGTGGAGATAATGTAGAAGCGTGCAAGGAGATGATTGTGTTATTGTTGACGTTTGTGTGAGAGCGATTGTGTGTTGATGTCTGTGTGTTGATGATTGTGTGTTGATGTCTCTGTGGGGCAGTGATGTTGTGGTGATGTCTGTGTGACAGTGATGGTGTGATGACGTCTGTGTGTTGATGATAGGGTGTGTGTGAAACCACTCCGAGGCCCAAAGCGGCAACGCGCGCACCAGCTCAAGTCAAGTGCCTATGACGTGCCACGCCTGCCACACGAATTGCAATGCACGTGCGCCAAGTCCGATGCCTGCCACACGAAACAGCAGCCAGATGCATCAAATGCTGCGCCTGCCATGCGAAACCATCCCGCACCCAAAAGCGGCAACGCGCGCACCAGCTGAAGTCATGGTGTGATGATGTCTTGGTGATACTGCTGGTGTGATGATGCGTGATACGGAGGGTGTCGTGATGTCTGTGTGATAGCGATTTGTATTGTTACGATGTGATGTGCTGACGGACGGGCGACGGACGGAGGAGAAGGAGGAGGAGGAAGAGGAGGAAAAGGAGAAACGGGAGATGCAGCACCAAAAATAAGAACCCCACACGGAGATGTGGGGAAAAATAGGTTGAAGTACCAACATCTTGGTTGTAAACTGCAACCTTTTGAAGCCACTTATGTGTCAAGTTGTTGGCGGCCAAGTGTCCGGTACAACCTGTTTTTTCTTTGTAACTTGGGGCCAGGTGACCCATGTTGGTATGTACACCATGCAGTACACAAGAGTTGCGATCGTTTTTGGGGGTCCCGTACCATCAAATCCTGTTGAATGATATTAAATTGTCATTATCTTCAACCCTATTTACTAAATTACTAAATCACCATCATATGTTTCCAATTGTTTGCCCAGCATTGCCTCGCCGCTTTGACCGAGGCAAGGGTTTCTTGGCCGCTGATGAAAGTGGTGGGCCGTGGCTCAGGGCGCGTCACGCAGAAGCGGCCAAGATCCCAGACACTGGGCCGTTGATTCACCGCCATGAAAAATACATAAATAACCCATAAATAACCCGGTTAACCCAAATGAGGATTGGATGGGATTTATGGCTGGTTGTTTTTTTCCTTGTTTTTTCCGGGTCGGGAGTGGATTGGGTGGAAGCATAAGGAAACGGATTGAAGACATGTTGCAGATGATGAGATTGTGGCAGGTGAACGTAGGATTTGGGCAATCTTTGGCATACTTTTAGCCGTAGCCATGTTGAGTGGAATTAGAGCCAGGACAGTTGTTGTGCTGTGACATGCTGTGACATGCTGTGATTCAGGATGTGGCCGAGAACAGGGCAGAGTACCGGTCAATGTGCTTCTCAACTCCCGGCTTGAGCGAGCACATCGGCGGAGTGATCCTCCACTGGGAGACGCTGTTTCAACGGGATGCACAGGGCAAGGCCATTGTGGACATCATCAAGGACAATGGCATGATCCCTGGTATCAAGGTGGACAAGGGCTACAACAAGAACCTTGGATTTGCTGGTCATTTTCTTAACTTTCCAATTGGACAACATAAAGTGGGGAATCTACTGGGAATACCATAGGTGTCCCGTTCGGAAATGATCTACTTGATCTGGTGGATTTTCCATAGCTATGTTCGTTTACTGGAGGGTATCCCCGCTTGTCCGTCTATGAATTACCCAAAATTGATAAGTTGATTGTCTACGACCCAGCCAAATGGGAAACAACCTTCAAGAGATGGAAAAACAAAATCGTACTAGAATAATGGTGCGTTGAAGCTGTCCTACCTTTTTGGGGCTTAAACAATGACTGACTTATATATGATCTTATAATGATTAAGCGGCCTATGTTTTTTTTGGTTCAGATGTGTCCCTTGGACACATCTTCGCAACATTTCGCAACTCCGACAGGAAGGGCATCTGGGGAACCCCAAAAGGCCCTTTGGGACACCCAGAGGTGGCCACTGTTGGCTTGGATGACCTGCAGCAAAGATGCCAGCAGGCAGGGGTGCTCAAATGCTCCAAGCCATTCCAAGCCTGAAATGGTAAAGGACAATGATGGTAAAGTTCTGGTAAAGCATAGTGAACTAGGGGAAATTATGGTAAGTTAGTCTAAACTATGGTACATTGTGGCAAATTATAGATGATCATAGCAACTCTTGGATGGAAAATGGGTAATCGTCCCATAGTTTAAGAATGTTTAAGATATGTTATCTCTTTATCTAGCCATTTTTCTCCATATTTGGTGTATTTGCTTCCAACAAAAGGCCTATGAGCAGGGCGCCCGCTTTGCCAAGTGGCGCAACGTGCTGCAGTTGGACCCGGCGAAGAATATGCCCACAGAGCTGGCGATCGCAGATACCGTGCACACCTTGGCTCGCTACGCCTCCATCTCTCAGAGCGAGGGGTTGGTGCCCATTGTGGAGCCTGAAATCGTTCCCAATGGCCACTCTGCCGGACTCTGCCGCTGTTGGGGCTTGGCGATCGGGCTGGGAACACGACCTGAAACTCTTCTAATGATACTATAATGATATACTACGATGCTCACCAGAACTTGGTCTTTTGTTGGAACACGAACTAAGGCGATCATGACATCTACTACTGCGCCCAAATGACCGAGAAGGTTTTGGCTGCGCAGTTCAAGGCCCTGGCAGACCATCACATCTACTTGGAGGGTGCTGTTTTGAAGCCCAACATGGTGAAGAATGGCCTTGGTGGTCCCAAAGCCAGTGCTGAGACCATTGCCACCCTGACTGTGCAAACTTTGCTGCGCACAGTGCCTCCCACCATGCCTGGAATCTTCTTCTTGTCGGGCGAGTCAGCAAAAAATGAAGACAACGAGGAAGAGGCAACCATCAACTTGAGCACCATGAACAGTCTGTTTGGCAAGCTGCCATGGCACCTCTCCTTCTCCTATGGCAAAGCTTTGCAAAGGACTTGTATTGTCACGTGGCTAGGCAAGACTGAGAACAAGGATGCTGCCCAAAAGGCCTTGAAGGCACGAGCCAAGGCCAACTCTGATGCTTGCTTTGGCAAATACAAGGCAGGCAGTTGTCGAAGCCTTGGACCTGATGATGCTAGCAGCGTGCCTGCTGGACCTTACTGAGGAGTAAGCAAGTGAGCAGCTGCGAAATCCCTGCAGGTGCTCCGCAGCACTAGCAGGCTGCAGGTACCTATTCCTGCTATGCTTTCCACAGGATTTTCTATAGCAACGCTAAATCATCAGAGGGTTCTGATTCCAGGACTGGTCTTTGGTGGCCTTCACTTGTTGCAAGCACATTAGTTTGGGTTGTCATGACTTGCAAGTGGGCAAATGTATGTCTCTCAATATAACGAGAGATGCGAAGAGGTTGACTCGGCTCGGTTGTCATTTGGTGCAGCTGCAAGTCATTTGTACAGAGTAGTTCGTTTCAGCGGTGCAGCTTGCAAGGCCGTAAGGCTGAACTTGTTTCAAGCACAGTAATTGGCGCTTCCGTGACTTGCAAGTGGGCAAGGCAAGGTATGTTTCCCAATCTAGTGGCCAGGCTGTTTTGTCAGCGCATTGACACAACCGATATGTCCTAGGGTGTCATCTTGGAAGGTTGGAATGTTGAGAGAGGCTTGGACTGTTCAGTGAACATGGTTTGTTCATGTTTGTTCAATTTGACAAAGTGAGAAGACATTGTAAAAGAACATTGACCTTGCAGTTCACTGGGGAAAGTCATGATTGACGCATGTACAGATTGCCAGAGCTTTCGTTAACCCGTTGGCCTCGCCACAAGGGCGTGGCTTTGCACCTGTTCGGTGGTCCCGCCTGTTGGAAAGAGAGCACCTGTTGAAGAGGACGCACCACGGGAGAAAATGGAGAAAGGAACGAAGAATGATCAACACATACAGATGGGATATGCGTCTGTACCTAGTCTCTATTTATGTGTATCGCTATTGATCTTAAATTATCGTTTACGTTGTTTACGACAAGGAATGTAATGTCAATCATGCAACTAACAACGACAACAAGTAGTTGCACACTGTTGACCAAGTTGGTGATCGTGATGATTCGTGATGTTCATGTTGTTCTTAAGTGGAGGTGATCATTCCTAATGGATGGTGGGCACCCAAGATTCCATGTGGTAAACCCTATAAACCCTAAACCCTGAACCTACATGAACCTACTATTTACGAATGATTGGAGAAAAGTGTGTTTTTCCACGATTATATTCCGGTATCATCATCCGCATGAAGATTTCAATCCTGCTATGTCCACCATTGCGACGATTTCCCAAGGCAGATGGACAGGCTGCAGAGACAGGCGGGATTGGGATCTCCAGGCTTGATGCCATCACCAAAGCTATCCTGCTTGAGGCTCCCAAGACTTCTCAACCTGATTTTTAAAGGCGTAGTAGATTGACCCGCTCCTGCAGCCAAATGAGTTTCTTTGCAACGTTTCAGTGATTTTCAGTGCATAGTCGGTAGATGTTTGAAGTGTCGCTTGAAATTTCATGATGAGATTGGAACCTTGATCGGACGCAATGTCCAATATTGGCAGGAAACGACTTTCCAGCAATCAAAGGCCGCAGCGACAGAATTTGTCTCATCCTTCATGATCCAAATATGACTTTCAGATCGTGTCGGGATGTTCCAACTGAACAGCTGAAGAGTTGGTGGTTCATCAAGAGGAAGGTCATGTCTCTTACTCAGTGGGAGTAAGCGTTCTCAAATTGGGGTTTACCCGCTCTCTCTATATATATATATATGATTATATATAATATATATATATGTGGCATGTCAGATGGTGTTTGACAAACACATTGATGCTCTGGCTTGGGCAGGAAGATCGTGCCATGCAGACAGAAGTTGCTGGTCGCAGCATTTCGATTCAGACTGAAGGCACAGTGGGCTCGGCTCCGGGCGTTGAAGATGGGTTCTATTGGGTTCCTGATTTTTTCTCTGGATTGCTGTGCCCACAAGAGTCAGATCAGCTCTGTGAACCAAACAGACAAAAGAGACATGACAAGACTTGCAAATCCGAAGGCTTGAAGAAGGCCTGAAGAAGGTCCAAAGTTTCTGAATAATCCCCAAGCCTCCAAGAGTCTATGATTAATGCATGATGTGTATGGTTTTGGCGTTTTGGCCATTGCTTTGGCAGCTCCTTAGTACAAAGATGAGAAAACGTTGCGTCCCGCTCAAGTGGCAGTCATGTCCTTTTGGTTGCTATATTATATATATATATATTACATATTTTTACTTACAAGCTACTGTAGATCAACCAAAGTTCTCCTGCAAAAAGGATCAGTGTTTTTCAGGTATAGGTAATTAGTCACTGCCCTTCATTTTTCTTAATTTTCTTTTGTAGGTGACTCGGGAAGTATCCCAAGCGCATCTTTGCGATATCCTGCGAGGTACACTTCGGCCAAGATCTATGGCTTCGCTGACATTTTTCCGTCGATTGGAGCGAATTCAACGGAATTGCTGCCTGGTGGCCCAGCGTCGCTGCATAGCCTAAAGGGCGTTGCTGCAAGTAACGGTACCCGTGGCGGACCGCAGACGTCATGGTGAGGGGCCACTGCTGGGTGATCCATTTCTGAGGCATACCCTGAATATTTTGGCCAAATCTCACATGAATACCATGAATACCACTGTGTGCGGGGATGCTTCAAGGCATAGCAAGACAACTGTAGCAGAGGTGGAAGCCCATGCTTTTGATGTGAAACTGATTGCTGGAAGCTGGTTGCCGCAACGAACACAATCGAAGTGACGTGTGCCCCATATAGGAGTAGGACGTGTGTCGTTGGGGCCAGTAGCTCCGCTTACTGGCAATAATCAATAGGATGCAATATAGGTTGAATTGCCAACGGACGCAATGTTGCAGCAATGCTGCAGCAATGCCGCAGCAATGTTGCAGCAATGCTGCTGCAATGTTGCAGCAATGTTGCTTCATTTGAGGCCTCTTCGACGTTTTTGGTGCATGGAAAGATTTGCGGGACGCCGCAGTCCAAAGAAGACAACAGGTGGGTACTTTATTTTCTGTCTTTATTGGTATTTTCCTGTTTTCCTGTCTTGGTCCATCTTAAGCCTAGAGGCAGTGCCTTGAGAGAAGGGTTTGGGATTATGTCCACTTCTTCTGCATTGGATCTAAAGCCTAATACACCAGCTACTTGTATCTCACAAGTAGATGGTCTTGCACAGTTGCTCGAAGCAGCACGTATTCCGGAGGCATGCACTTCCAAATGATTATGGGCAAATGTCAAAGATAGTCTAGAGTGTAAGGAACCGCACAGAACACTGAAATATATATATATATATATATATTGAAAAAATATTGAAATATCAAATCGTTGAGGCTCCGATTGAATCTCCTCACATATCCCCCGACACTTTTAAAGACTTTTCCAACAACTTTGCTGAATCGGATGATGCCGCCCTTACAACGAGGCGTTGTTCGAGTCTCTGCGTGAGCAGCTGGATGTGGCGAAGCGTAAAACGCTTGCAGCAGACGCGTGCTTGAAGTCTTCAGGCCCTTGGATTCTGCCATGTTGCTGTGTTGCTGCAGCCACAGAGTGGCATCATTTTGGGGGTAAGTTTCTAAACATAGCAAGTTTTATCAATTGGGTTCAGTCTCCAATTTGGGGATACATGGGGATTCCAGAATCAGAATGGCTACCAGAACGGCTCAAAGTGACAGAGACCCTGGGCATTTGAACATTTTAAATTCACCTACTAGCCCATAGGATCCATGTATGGTATATATGCTAACATTTGGGGTATATTGATGGTAAATGTTACATAATGTTACCATATATACCATACATGGATCCTATGGGTAGTTGAAAACTGTGACAGCGAAGGTCGGAATGGACCTCACGTAGCATGGCTTCCAGTCTCCTTCAGGCGCTGCTTTTTTCCCTCAGATGGGGATGGGTCAAAACCCTGGTACCGTGCCGTGAACCCCAAGTCATAGCTGGGATTTATGGATGTGAACAACCCACTAAAAATGTATAGGTATTGACCCATACCCAGATTGTGAGCTTTTGCAATCTGACATATCTATACATATCTGACAAACAGAAAATTCGTGCCATGTGGGCCATGTACCTATGCCAAGTTCATCCACAGGATTCCGCCCCGGTTGAAAATCTCCAACTCGTGGTGGCCATAACCATTTGCTCCTTTGGTGCAAGGCTTTGGCGATCTTCCATGGAACTCTCTCGCTCCTTGGCAGGTCAATATCAGTGTGGATGATACCACATTATCCTCGAAATGCATGGATGTTCAAGTCAATTTGGTTGTATTTGGTGGGATTTGTCAGACTTACAAAGTCTTACATACCCATCTCCTAACATACCGACAAACTTCAGGTCGGACAGGCCAGGACCTTTAGGCTCATTTTTTGAAACCACAAAGCACAAAGTGACACCAACATGCACCAACTTCAATCATATCCGGGGCCTTATGAGACCCAATCACCCATCGTTTGAAAGCAGATTGTCAGATTCCCGGTGGGACTTCCAGCACTGCTTCTGCAGAAAATGGTTTACTATAGCCATGTTGAGCCAGAAAACCAATGTTTGTTTGGCATCAACACAGCCCAATTTCACGCACAGCCCCGCTTTCCACACTGAAAAAACTGGGTAATTCGCTTGGGTAGCTGCCCTTGAAGGGAATTGCGTTTCAGGTCAGCGACAGAGGCTGCTGGGCAGAAGTTCTGATTCTTGTGCACACTAGGAATCATTAGGAATCAGGTTTCTCAGAAGCAGAACAAGCTTGAATTGCCTGTGTAGTTTGGTATGGATTGGTGCCAAACCAAACCTGAGTTCTGCGATATCATGCTCATCTGTGTTGACATTCAGCAGGTGACCTAGTTCCTGTCACAAAGACAGGGAAAATTGACCAGAAACCTACATAGTTTGAAGCGCCAATTCTTTAAAACTTGGAGAATGTGCTTTTTTAAATCAAGTAGAGGCTCAAAGAAGAGGAAGAGTCCAACACACCAGATATAGAATCAGTTACTTGCATCATGAGAGAGCTTTCTTTTGGCCCATACTTCCTGTTCCGCTTTGGCCATGGCCGGCAGGTTAGCTGATGCTGCATTCCAAGAAGAGCTTCGACGGCGCGTTTTCAGAGCCTTCCAGACTTAGTTGAGACATGGGTATCATGGGTCATTGCCAAATGATACCATGGGTATCCCCAAAATGGTAATTATGGGATATTATGGGTAAATTATGGGTTACCATATCATATCATATCATATCATATCATATCATATCATGGGTATCATAGGCAAATGATGGGCATCCGCAAAATGGCAAAGCCGTGGCCTTCTGAATTCTATTGGCTAGGAGCATGGTTTGTCAAAAAGTTGACCCATGCCTTTCTTGCAGCGGCCATCATCATGCCAATGACTCTCAGCAGGGCAAGTGGGGCAAGTGTTCATTAAAATGCATGGGAGTGAAGCAACCTTGAAGAACCTAGAAGTGTTTTCCAATGACATGTCTAGTTCCCGGGCGACTTTTTCTCTTTTGAGTGGTTTGTGGGGGTCTTCATGGCAAATCTTCAACCTGAGGTCTTGCTGGCATGGAGGAGCACCTGTCTCAGCTTCTGCGCAAGACAGACAGAGGAAAGGTTGGCTGCGCCACTGGAAGCGCTTCCGGCTCTGTCGGAAGTTCCAATACTGGACAGCTTCTCGGAGCATAAAAACCATAGAGAAATCATGAGAAATCAACCAAAATTCAGAGGGGCTTTTTCTCGCTATGTCCTGCTATTTCAGATCAACCCACCTGAAACCCTAAGAGATCCCTACGTTCCTAAACCATATCAAAACCATATCAAAACCATATCAAAACAACACCCAAAACTATAGAACAACAATGAACAACATATACATATTGTAATCATAGTCATACCCCAAACCATGTCGAAATCATAACCCCTAATTGAATTCGCAGCAAAACCATAATAGTAAAACCATTGAAATATGAATTAGTAAAATTAGATAAAATTAGATTTTGAGATTTCAATGCTTAAGGGCTTTGTTTCTCTAGGTGCATGGCCTTTCCCCCTTGATTCTTGGGTCCACCCAGACACGGTTGCTTTTCATGCATTTGAGCACTAATTTCGAGTTCGGTGAAACATCTCAGCGGTAGATATACAATCCTAAGCCGAATGAATCCCAATTACTGTAATACTAGTTAATTCCAAATAAATTAAGCCCGATTAGTTCAATCAATCCCAATGAATCCCAATTAATCCCAATTGTAGGTCAATGCTTTGATCGCCTTCTGCCATAGGTTTGTTGATTGACCTCCAAGCACCTCAAACTCTGCGTTCGCCATTGCGAAGCATGGAGAGCAACGTAGATCCTGGAGCCTTGCCGGTTCCCGGGGGGATTGGTCACCCCTTGGGTGTTCTCTAGTCAGTGGAGATGTTGACGCCAGGAATGCAAAGCAGGATCCGCAATCAGATTGCGTGTAACAACAGGATACAACATTGACATGTAAGTTTGGTCCCGCGACGCTCATTATGCTCATGCTCCTTGAATTTCTCGACGGCAATAACATTATAATAACGGCTTTGCTCCTGAGGAAGTGGAGATGAACCAAAAAGGTTGCGAGGGCCACAAAGGTTCTCTTACGATGCTGGGCTGAATTGAATGATTGGGCAAACCGGCGTATGTCCGTTTGTGCACATGTTCCTGATTTCATCAAGCCGTGCATTCAAGTGATTTTGTCATTTTTGGGGTTCAAGAATGCCCTGAGAGGTGTTGACAGGGCGCTGCGACGGAAATAGCCTTGTATTTTAATGGAATAACCTTGTTGCCTTACAGTGAAATGCTTTCCAAGCCGAGATCTTCGCAGAGAAGGTAGGAGAGGAAAGCTAGCTGTCCATTTGGCCGTCATTCTTATGGAAAGCAGACCAATACGAAACAGCGTGCCTAGGACACTTCCAGCTACGCTGGTTGCGCTAGATACGGTGGACCAAAAAAAGAGTCTTGGCTGTATGACAAACCTCTCAGATGTAACGAGATGCCGCGAAGCAGCGCTTCATCTGGATGGTAAGTTGATGTGGTTGGGATGCCATTGAAACAGACGCTGCGCCCAAACAAACAAAGTGAACCTGGCCTCAGCACCATAGTGAAGCGCACAAGAAGAGCTGATATATATTTCTTTTTGCTAAACAAAGGCAGATACTCTTCCTCTTCCAGCATTCCTTTTGACTTTTCACACCGTGAGGTACACCACTCTCCACAACGAGCCCTCGAATTGTTAAGTTTCCCTTTGGAATTCGTTTTGTTCCTTTTCGGATTGATTAGCGTGTGAGGCTGTAGAATCCAGGGCGAACAAGAAAGAGAATGTCGCTGTGTGCACTGCAAGGACTAGGTGCAGTCGGAAATTGGGTGGTTTGAGGGAAGAATGCATCGGCACTCTTCTGGTTTATGTCAATTGCAATACAACAAATCAGGCATGTTATCAGCAAAATTGCTTTCTGACCTGAGACGGCTGCATTTCTTGCAGGAATTAGTTTTAAAAAAATGCTATATATTATAGTGTATATTATTTGTATATAGTGTATATTATTTGTATACAAATATGGTGCATGCTATTTACATATTTATATTCGGGAATATTAAATATAAATGGGTTTCTAAATATGTATGTTTATTTCTTAAATGATTGTTATTTTATATTGCTATAGTGGAATTATGTTGTTAAAATGCGAATTGGGACTTGGATAATTAATCAAAGGAAGTCTAGTTTGAGCTACCGGCGCTGTTAACGGACCCGCAGGTTTTGCTGTTTTTCGCTGTCGCATTGCCCGCCAGTTAGAAATTGTGCCCGTCGATTGGAAGTTGTGCCCGTCAGTTAGAAGTTGTGCGCGTCAGTTAGAAGTTGCGCACGTCAGTTAGAAGTTGCGCACGTCAGTTAGAAGTTGTTTCTTGTCACTTGCCACACGCTCTTGATGCTACGATGTAACATGTCTCTTGTCACTGACCACACCATCTTGAAACTACGCTGTAAAACATGTCTTAGGGCTCTTGCCCCACGCTTTTGATGCTATGCTGTAACATGTCTCTTGTCACTTGCCACACACTCTTGATGCTACACTGTATCATGTCTCTGGTCACTTGCCACATGCTTCTGATGCTATGTTATAACATGTCTCTGGTCACTTGACACACGGTCTTGATACTACACTATAACATGTGTCTTGTTACTTGCCACCTACTCTTGATGCTAGGCCTTGTCCGTTCTTTAATTTGATAATATTTCGGTATTGCGAAGACTAGGTCTTAGAAATTTATAAAATAGAATTTAGAGCCAATATCCTGGTGGCCATTTCCTCTATAAAATGGTCGCGCCCGGGTACCCTGCTAAACCATTTTTTTAGGCACTATAAAATGGAAAACAGAATGTTTGGAGTGGTTCTTGAATGGTTTATCAGGATATGTTTTCTATTTTCTTTTTGGGCAAGTACTACTTTATAGAGGCCACTTGGGGTCTTACTGCAGGAAAGCTGTTCATTTAGTAGGGGTGGCACAGGCCTCCACTTTATAGCACAATGTTGGCTGTGCAATGTTGTGGCGCTATTTTATAGATAGGGTGTTTCCATGTGTGGTGTGGCTGAACTTCCACTTTATAGAGTGCCCGTTTGCATTGTTTTTTTCAAGGTTTTGTATCAACATGTATCAACACAATTTGATTGCAGCGGTATAAAGCGGTATGCCGTCCGTTGCAGCAATGCCAGCAAGCTCAAAACTGCACTATATGTCTTTGTAAAATGGTAGAAGAACCTCTCTTTTCAACCAGGACCACTATAGAATAGAAAACTGCACTATATGTCTTTATAAAATGGTAGAACAACCTCTCTTTTCAACCAGGACCACTATAGAATAGAAAACTGGATCTGAAGGGAACGGTTCTTGGGCAGGTAGCCTTAGACGGGGAGAGATCAGGGAAATGCCAGCGTAGGCAGCCAAATCCAGTTGAAAAGAATCCAACAGAATAAAGGATGATCCAAAAAGTAAATCCATTACGTAGAGATATGTAGGGTACTGGGAGCAGTCCAGCCAACAAACTTCCATTTTATAGACAGAGAAGTGGGATATATACAGCCTGAGAACACGGGAAGAAAAAATTGGCTGGAGCCTGCTGCAGACTTGTGATTTACCACTTTCACCTCTATAAAATAGAATCCAACCAGAGACAGAAATGCAATGAAATGCAATGAAATGCAATGAAATGCAATGAAATGCAATGAAATGCAATGAAATGCAATGAAATGCAATGAAATGTATAAGTTCCATCAAGCTGGAAAATGGTTTTGGCGACTGGCTTGGGCAAGGAGTATTTTATAGAGATGATTTTGGAAGCCTTGCTGAGAAGTGTGGTTTGCAAAAATGACACCTGGACACCTTCTAGTTTATAGGCCTGTAATTCCACAAGTATACCCTGAGGAATACTTTATAAAGGGAGTAGTCCCTTAATAAACCATTTAAAATAACAATTAGCCAGGTTCTAATTTTAATTTACATATGGATATTGGACAATGTTAGGGATAGGCCTTATCCGCGTTTTAGTTTTATGTTATTTCGGTATTATACGACCATAATGTTGAAATTTTATAAATATTCCCTTTTAAATTAGGGGGAGACGTTATATTCGGCTTGTTATAATATAATTTTATGGATTTAAAAATAAAAATAAAAAAATTAGGAATTTGGGATTTTATAAAAAACATATAGGTTTTTAATATTATATTTGATTTTAAATAAATTTTTATAAAATAATAATTTTATTTATAATATAAAAATTATATTTTATTTAATATTTTTTTTATAAAAAAATACGATTTTAAATAATATTTGGGATATTATTTTGAAAGGAAATAATATTTAATTTTATTTTTGTTTTTTTTTCGAATTTATTAATTTTTAAATAATTTTTTTATAAGAATTTTATTATTTATATTATTTTATAATTTTA